AGCTATAGAAGTAAATATGACTGAAAAAAAATTGCTGCTTGTTTGTCCTTTGGTAAAAAAGGTAGTGTAGCAAAGAACACTAGAAAATTCCCTTTGTGAACGTAAATTTGCTTTTAGTTTTTACTTCATTGGCGGAAAAATTTGCTCTAGAAAGTGTGTTTCTCTAAGGGAGAGGGGTGCCATTGGCAGTTAAGACAATTATTATGCCGGGCTGGGTCCAATCATCAGATGCCTGGCATCCTAGACTTTACCCAACGAGGGGAATAAAGTTGCCTCCAGGGAGGCAGCATGGCTGGCCTGGTGACCAATTATGCCTTGGAATTTTCTCCCTGGGAGGCAGGGGGAATCACTCCCACTGTTATGGAAGCCCAGAATATAAATTTTCATTTGCAGGAAAAGAAAATGACATTTCTTGCTCATGAGTATATGGATGGAGTTTGATACTCAGTAACCTTGTCTAGTGCAAAGAATTCAGGTTTGGGTGTGGGGCTGTCTAGATAAATGTGCAACACCTGAGGAATACCAGGTGACATCTGTTCCTAATGTGTACAACAATGTCTTAGGGACTAGAGCGGCCCTGATGGGGTGTATGAAGACCCCATACTCCCCCAATAATTGCTCCTATAAATCATTTACTCCTTCTGCAGCATTTCCCCATCTTCCATAAGGATACAGTGCAAACTTGGTAGTGGGCTGTTAAGACAGCCAGCCAAAAAGATGATCACTAGAAAGAAAACGGCTCCTATCTTTCAGAGAAAATGAATTAACAATACAACTTTAAGTTTAAAAATATGTGAAAAACAGAAAGCTTAGGAGCTTTCTCTTAGTGGGCTTAAGACAGAGGTCCCCAAACTATCCCAGTGCATGAGTTCTTAGAGTCTCTGCATCTCCTAGGTCTAAAGAAATGCCAAATCATTGTGTTTATTATGTAGTAAGAGTCAAACAACTTATTTATATCCCCCAAACTCGGCTGCCTTTTAAAAAACAATGTAGATACATTGAAAGAATATGTTTATATCATTGTAAAACATTTATATCATTCTTAATTACACTTAACAGTGTGTGTCAGCCAGTACAGCATAGCAAAACTTAAACCCTGAAAACAGATTGAACTCTGTTCATCAGCGCTATTTCCTGTTCCACACTGATTTTTGCAAGACACTTTCATCATTGCAACTTTAAAAAACCTAGCTCTTCAAAGATAAGAAATCATCTAAAGGAAGGTAGTGTAATCTAATGTTAAAATTTGTGAGCTATTTCAAGTTAGTAGTTTGTACAATGTCTGACCCATTTCAAGTCTCTGTTTCCCTTAAAAGTTTAAAATGTCCCACAGTGCCCCCTTTGAGTTTGCTGGGAAGTCTCACTACCAGAGCACCTCTGCATACAGTTTATAAAAAAACAAACAAAAGAAATAGGATGATGAAAGTCTAGACATAATGAAATTAACTACCTTAAAAGTGTTTATCTGGCCTAATCCCCTGGTGATGGAGAACTATAATTAAATCTGAAACCTCAGCACCCAAGAGTGTGTTCATTTCTTCTTGAGCACTTGAGATAATCTTTTCAAAATTATTTTGAAAATTCTCAAATGCTGTAAAAAGGGGTAATTGTAGGGCCTCCCTGGTGGCACAGAGGCTTGAGACGCAATCTATGAAGCTATCCACGGCCACTGCAGCATGAGTTTGATCCCCAACCAGGGAGCTACCCACATGGTGCAGCAGACCTCTCCTGACTCATCCACTGCTCCCTCAGCAGTGTATTTCAGTCGATCTGCATGTTCTGCTCCCCACTTTGTCTCTGGTGAATCCTCTCACCCATCACACCTCTGGCCTGTACCTCAGTTCTTGTATGCATAAATAAATAAATCTTTTTTTTTTTTAAAAAAAGGGGTAATTGTAGAATGAACAGGTAAAAGATCTATACACTAGAATGTAAGATCCAATAGGCTCAGACGCTTTGTATCCTCAATGCCTAAAAGAGTACCTGAGCTAGAACTGGTCCTTAGTAAATTTTAATGAATTCCTGGATGGAAGAAAAAAGGATTCAGTGAAATTTTTAACTCTTGGTGCTTTTAATAATTGCAGGGTTGGGTCTCATGCTTTTCTCTGTGTTTGCTCAATGCAGTGATCTTCCAAATAAAACATAAATTATAGTTATCTAGAGATTATATATGCCAAAGTGCCTACTCGAAAGAGGGGTTTCATAAATGCTTAATTTAGTTTTTTATAGGGAGACAAAGTAGGGTGATGGAAAGAATATAAACTTTGGAGTAGGACTAATCTGAATTTGAATTGACTGGCCAATCACCAATCTCTCTGACCTTGTATTTTTTCATATGTAATATAGTGATAAACATCTTAGTACACAAATTTGTGTACTAATGAGATAATGTATACAATGTACTAGATGAAATGCCCGGAAAACAGGAAGTTTAAATGGCATTTCTATCCTCATGGATAATTTTTACTTTATTTGGTTCATCCCATTTCTCTGAAAGTAAGTTTCAGGATATGAACAGACTGTGCTTTATATTACATTATACACATCTACCTCAGGGCCTTTGCAATATGCTTCTGACAGATGTCCACTTCCTTCTAGGGTGCTCAAATCCCATTCTCAGTGATGCTTACACAGAATTCCTTATTTATATTTGCATACCTCTGCCCCTTACCTAGCTCAGATTTTCCTTCTAACACGTATCACCTTTTAACACACTACTTTCTATGTCATTCATTTTTATTCGTCCCTCACAACAATATAAACTCCAGGAGGTCTGGGATTTTTGTGTGCTTCACCAATGCCTCTGTATCTTGACCAGTGCCTGACACGAAGTAGGTACTCAATATTTTCACAATTGAATTGATTCGATTTAAATATATTCCCATTGAATTTTATAATTTTTAGCTTGGAGCCATTATTTGGTTTCTCAGCATGAGATGCTTTCATCCTGCATCTTTAATTGTGGCCCATCACCCTCATTCCATGCAACCAGTCCTTGCCAGAGGAAACTGCTGGCCCAGTTCAACTACTGAGTGACTCTGGACAGTTTATTTAGCTTCTCTTTGTCTTTGTTGCATCACGGTAAATGAGGATATAAACCATTTCTACTCCCTAAATTATCTGGTGAAGAGTCAATGAGCCAAGCTACAAGAAAGGACTACAACAGTGTCTGGCATGCATTCATTTACTGTTAGCTACTGTGATTCAATTTATAGCCTAGGACCCCTTAGGCCTATGCCATACAATGCTGCGATAGTCATCCTTTCCTGACATACCCCTTCTTTTATCTCCTGGCATCTTATCCACCAAATCTGAACCTTATGAGGTCTCAACATTCCTCCACTTTTTTTTTTCTTTTAAGCATTTCCTTCTAGATGCAAACTAATTTTAGAAGATACAGGTAGTTCCCTGATTAATTGATAAGTGGTGGACGAAAGTTTGTATGTTTAACATGACTCCAGGAAAAAAATCCCCAAGGAATAAACAAGAAGGGAAATTTTCTCAAAAGTTGCTTCATTTGACCTTAATCCAGAACTATTTTAATAGTCTAACTTATCACCAACAATTTACCCCATTTAAATTTTTTTTTTAGTGTGGCCCTCTTAACATCTTGTGTTTACACTATTTCAAAGAGAAAATAATTTCCAGTCTTCTAAAACTTTTTTTTTTTTACCTTGAAATGAATTTAGAAACTCACTAACAAGTAAATGCTCTCGGAGTTTCATACTGAAGTTGGAGAAGAACAATCCTCTTCCCTGGAAGAATTATGTGATCTTAACCTGGGTTGTAAGTTCTTCCCTACCTCAGCCACCAGTCTCAGAGAACTTGGCTAAAGGTACAGGGAGGTAAAAGCTCCACAGGATTAAATTTCCAGCTCCCAAAATAACTCCTGAGTACTCCTGCCACCTCCAAATCAGGGCCTGCTTGCTTCTTCACATTGGCAAAGGGCCAGCTCTCTAACCTGATCCCTGGAGGCCTTGTGGGGCCATGGATGGCCCTCTGTCCTTAGATGGACAGCTCTTTAGCGAGGCCAGGCAGGGCACTGAATTAAAGGTGGACGTGTCAGGTTCATTTTCTTTCAATTCACACTCTTACCGTTCTTCAATGTCCTGTCTTCTGTTGGTTCCTCCACCTGTCTCTTGGTTCCTGAAGGGGATTGTTTTCCAAAACCCAGTGAGAACCACTGTCAGGACATCTCTCCCTGCTGTCAAAATCCCACCTGCACTAGTCCTTGAATTAATTCATTTCTTCACATAAAAATTTAAAGACGATTAAAGCAAGCATACCTTTAAAACCAGCTTCACTTGCCATAAACAGAAGGCGCACTACAAATATAATTAAAAAATATTTAGTAATGGAATTTTATTTGGTGAGGGCTGCTGAGTTGAGCTAACGAGTCCTAATGTTGGGTTAAGGAATGCTGGGGAAGTGTTAGACACCCCAGCATCCAAGGAAGACGTGTTTCTTGTAATATGAACATGGAGGTGGATAGAGAAGAGAGACATTTTCTCACCTTATTTTAAAACACGGTGTCGAAATATAAATTAAGCCTTTCCCACTTCGGGAAACACAGCTTTGAGTTTGAAATTCAAAAAAGGCAAATGAGTTGGTTGAAATCTGAAAGAACTCACCCGTCTGCTTCAAGCAAGAGCACTCTAACTACACTCAGCTCTTCGCACATTTCCCCCATTCTTTGTCCACACTCTGCAACTACCAATACTCGGATATAGGACTATTTGGGGGCTCATACATTGGCTGGTGAGGCGATCCTGGGGACTTCGGGGTTCAGGCCGAGTCCCACCCTCGACAGCCAAATTCAGCGCCCTGCACCTCGCTCGCTCCCGGAGGCCGGGGAGGGTTGCCAATGTTTGTCACGGTCTCCATGGCAGCGACGCACTGTTCACGCCCTCCTTGGTGACGTCACGGACCGTGTCCAATGGGAGCGCAGCCAGGGTCGCTCCCCGCCCCCGCTGGCGTGACTGACAGCGCTGAGCGAGGGTTAGCGGCCGCCGCGCTCCACAGTCTCCGGTCAGTCGTCGCCGCCGCCGCGCCACCGCCGCCCCTGCCGCCGCGATGTTCGGGATGCTGAACAGCAGCTTCGAGGATGACCCCTTCTTCTCGTGAGTGCCCGCGGGGGGCGCCCTGAGGGAAGAGCGAGTGACGATGAGGCGGGCGAGGGGCTGTGGAGCGCGGCCTGAGGGAGGGGACGGCTCGGGACTGTGGGTGCGAGAGGAATTAGGGGTGTGTTGGCAAAGAAGTGGATTTGGGGGCTCTGGATTGGAAGGGAATTGGGGGCCATGGGGGCACGGAAGGGTTGGAGAATGTGAAGTAGTTGGGGTGTGGGTGAGGAGGATTTGGGGCCGTGGGGTGACGATGGGAGAACTGGGGGTGAGATGCGAGAAGAGGATTTGGGGCGAGGGGGGCGGGAGGGGCGGACTTGGCGGGTGCGGGAGGGGGGTGCGAGAAGGCGCCCCCGCTGCAACCCGTGTGCGGGCTGCTCTCCACTCAGCCCAAGTTGGGGGCCCGACTCCGGGTCCCCCATCACTTCCCCGATGTGGGGTCCCCTGCGCTTTGCGGGATTTTGCGGGGGCTGTCTCGGGGCAACTTCTAATGAGAATCGGGGTCGCAGAACCCTTTCTGCATTCGGGTTACCCCTCGTTGAGGGCGGGAATGTTTTATAGGATGACAATGCTTTCGAAAGGGCAATGTTTAAAAAACCTTTTCATAAGTAAGTGTTTATTTTTTTATTTTTTTAATTTATTTTTATATTTTTTTACATTATTTTTCATTTTTGCACTATGTATGCATTTTCATCTTGGTTATAGTCCCCATACAATTCCCACCCCCCTTATTTTGACCCTAATCCTTCCTCCCTCTCCCTCACCCAGTGTGTGTCTGGTTTATAGTTGCTTGTTTTTGATTTTTACACGTGCATAATGGAATATTACTCAGCAATCAAAAAAGATAAACTCATGCAATTTGCAGCAACATGGATGGAGCTGGAAGGGATCATGCTCAGCAAAGTAAGCCAAAAAGAAAAAGAAAAATACCGGATGGTCTCACTCCTAGCAGCAACCTAGAAAACCTAAATAAGGGACCAGGAAAAAGACTAATTATAATAAAGTAAAAATCAAAATCAACAAGCAACTTAAATCATAAGTAAGTGTTTATGCGCACACAAAAGAGTCTGAGAGTTGTGCTGGCTCTTGCCTCCCGGGACTGGAAGTTGCCAGGTGCTCAGTTTGTTTTCTTTGCTTGCTTGTGACTGAGCCAGGCTTGTTTGGAAAGACTCCTCTTTCTGTCAAACGCACAAATGGGGCTAGGAAACTGAGAGGTGTACTTGACACCCCAGGTAAACGAGCGCCAAGTGAATGATTCCAAGCAAAGTAATGTGATACCTTAAGAAGAAGGTTTCAGAAATTAGTTCTTTTACTGTGACCTACCTAGTTTTCTTATTATTATTCATCCGTTGGCAATTACAGAAGCAGTTAATAATCTGGATCTCTAAACAGGAAGAATTGTGATTTTTTTTACCCACATGTTTTGCCATTTTTAATTTTGACTTGCAAATTGATTCTGATCACTTACATTCTCTGTGCAACATGGGGGAAACATTTTTTAAAGGTTAAAGATTGTTTCTGGAAAAGACAATCAGTTACATGTCAGTCTTTTCAGCAGTCACTCTTTGTAAACTTCTTCAAACACCGGCAGCCATATCATAAAAATTTAGGATAAGACTATTATAATTAAATATTGTTCATTGATAATTTGATGTCCTTGATTCACTGTCTTGTAGTTAATATGGTATTTAGTTGCTTGCTGAAGATACTGTTTTCCTTCAACAGATACCATTGTTGATGTTGACAATTTCTAGTATGAACACTATTAACAGTTGATAGATTTTTTTGTTGCTTTAAAAGAAACTATTGACTTAAAATGTGTTAGTACTGTTTTTAAAACGAAATAACGTAAGAGGATTGAAAAGTGGGCAATAGAAAAGATGAAATGATTAATATAGAAAAATAACATTTTATTCTAAAGGTCACTCATAACTAAGGGGCATCTTGACTTGGGCAAAGACAGTTTTAGCTAACTTGTTTAGGAGCTATTGATTCATTTATGATCAGTGTCATTTTTAAAAATTTCATGATTATGATTTGCTGTTTTAGAGACCTCTAAGAGGGACTAAATATATTCACAGATAGTTGAATTGTTGAAGTTGTTCTTATAAAATTGTGACATCAGTACAGTTGGTAACAATTAAGAAGTCTATGATGAACAACTTTTGAATTATACCAAAGTGAACAATGGCCTTAAGTAAGTTTTGTAATTAGTGCTTCTTTAAAATGTGTAGCAAACGTGTAATTTAAACTCTTGGGTTACTCTTTCTGAGCAAAGGTAATGAACCCAAGAGCCAAGTCAGAAATAGCAACATACCACAAGTAGTAGGCAAACATCAAAGAACACTTTCCCCCTGGTGCTTCTGGAAAAGAATCATTACATGTCAGTCTTTTCAGCAATCACTCTCTGTAACCTTCTTCAAACACCAGCAGCCATATCATAAAAATTTAGGATAAGACTATTATAATTAACTTTATAAAACTGATTCATGCTTATAATTTCTCAGTTCCGCATTCAACTACATAAAAATTAAACATACTTTGGGGAAGTAAGGGAGAAAGGTGTGAATTTATATTTATTTCAGATTATCTGTAACTTGACTCACCTATTTAACTCCAACCCCAAACAAAATGAACATTCTTTACTTAATGTAAGTCAAACATAAGGGATTCATAAAGATGACAGGCTACTTATCAAAATCATCTGCTATCTTAAGGAACAAAGTAGGGTTCTGTGCCCACCATTTCAAAATTATTATTCCTCTTAACATTATGGCCAGGTCCATAGGTTCTCTAGTAATTAGTTTAATTTCTGACATATAGAAAGTATTCAATAAATATTGTTTACTGATAATTTGATGTCCTTGATTCACTGTCTTGTAGTTAATATGGTATTTAGTTGCTTGCTGAAAGATACTGTTTTCCTTCAACAGATACCATTGTTGATGTTGACAATTTCTAGTATGAACACTATGATTTTCTAAATGATTCATTTTTTCAATAAAGGGCATATGTATATCTAGACTCTCCTAATCATTCGAAAGTGGGCAGGCAAAAAAATAAATTTCTTGAAAATAAAGTTAAAATTGTAAAATAATTCGAGACTGATAAAATACCATGGTGAAATTGTCAAAAGATATGAATAAAAAATCTGAAATCTGTAGTTTTGAATTCAAATATATCTTCAATGTTTATCTTCTTATAATAACTCATTAAATGTCCCATCAGAAAATCAAAGGGAAACTTTAAAAGTGATATTTTAAATTTGATGTTTTTTTTTTTTTTTTTTTTTTTTTAATTTCTAGAGGCATGTCTTATTTATTTATTTATTTATTGTTTGTTTGTTTGATACATGCACTGGGTACAGTCAGAAGCGTGGGAGGGTGAGAGAATTCACCAGAGCCAGAGCGGGGAGCAGAGCAGGCAGAAGGACCGAAGTACACTGCTGAGGGGAGCAGCGGGCGGCAGGAGAGGTCTGCGCGCCATGTGGGACCCTCCTCTGGTGGCCGGGGAGCAGCCGGGGATCGAACCGGCTGCAGAGGCTGCAGGCAGCTTCGCAACCCAGCGCTCAACCGCTGCGCCACCGGGGAGGCCCAATTTGATGTTTTATTATATAGTGGAACTTTAAAAATCTTGTTTCACAATCTTGTTGTTTCAGAGCTGAAATTATTTCAGTAAAAATTGTTTCACAGTATACCTTCATGCATCCTTTCTTAAGTAATATTACTTCTAATTTGGTTAAAAGTACAAAAGCTAAAATCTATGCAATTTTTTCTCAGTACTACTTTCGCCTCTCATATATATTTACTTAAGAAGGAACAGAAATGTGTTCTTATGGCCAGGAAAATTAATTTGAAGTTGAATGGTTTGGGTTGCTATCTTATACCCCTAAAAGCTCTAATTCAGTATAAAAGTTTACATATGTCTAGTACAATCTAGAAAATTTTACTTTGTACGGAAACATGAATTATAACTCTTCTGAGCTACAGAAATAAAATTCTGTTCATGCAAGTCTAAAAGAATGGCTTTGTTACCATTTACAATTATTAGACATCAAAGACTCAAGGCAGGTTGGCAAATCTTTTTAAACCACAAATTATTACCTTTTTCTTAAGCACCCAGCTCTTTTAATTGATGATCCTCTGTATATATTCATAAGATGTTATTTTTCCATCTCTTTGCTTTCAATAGGAGCTAAGACTTACCTTTTTTAGTGTTTTTAAAATTTTATTTATTTTCATATTAGAGGTAGTTGGAAGACACTGCTTTGACCTGTTCACTGGGTTGAAATTAAATGTATACCATGTACACGTTATACATTGACTAATATTTTCTAAAGTGAGATTTTTGTCGTAGGAAATAAAATATCATCCCCTTACTAGATAAGCTTTTGTGTTCAATATTCAAAGTTACTTACATATTTGTTTTCAGACATGTAGTCTGAGATAGGGCTTTAATCAAGAAGGTAATAGCTTTAAATTATCTCTCATTTTAGTAATTTAAAAATTATTAGCTGAACATGCTCAGTTATTTAACTGAGCATGCTCAGTTAAAATTTAAGGGTTTGATTTTCAGAATGCCATTTTATATTAAGACCCCAGATAGCTGCTGTTATTTTTAGCATCTAAAAATTTATGTTTTCAGAATTATTTACATATAAAGCTTTTAAATTAACTTTGCACATTTCCTGCAAAGGTATTTTTATCATATTTGATAGAATGAAACACCTGAGTTTTGAACTGCAAAAATTTCTAAAACTTTCTAATTTGGGTCATTGTTTGGTTCATTAGGTGCAAACCATTGAGTTAGGATCCAAGAAGCACAGTTTCTAGATCAAGAAATGCTATTCCATAGACTCCACCCATAGATAATTCTTAATTCTATCCATGAACTTTGTAAGTATCCATGCATTGTAGGAGAATACTCATAGGAGGGAGGATTCATAGTCATTCCTATAGTTCTTTCAATTCAAGATCTTCTTATACCACCATTTGAAACTGCTTCTAAGCAGTGGGAATGTAGAATTATCTATAGAAATGTAACTTATTTTTAAAATATTTCTTGGGTTTCTACTATTTGCCCAACTCTTTGGATTCTTACAGATTTGTAGGAGTCTTGGCCCCGGCCCTCAAGATTCTCTTATGAATGTGATATGTGTTACTTCTAGCATCAAAACTTGGATCACCTGTTATTTTCTTTATGGACATGTCTACCTCATTGAAAGTAGGGAACATTTTTTTTTTTTTATGATTGAAAGAGTTGTAACAATCTGTTGACTAAGCTTTTGCTACTACTATGTATAGTGGAAAGAAGGAATTTTCCTCCATGAATGGGACTACTACATAAATTATCTGAGACCCTTATATAATAAAGAATAATATAATGCTTTTTACTTAGAAACACAAATATATATATATATATTCTTATGCAAGCCGAATAAAATTGTAACTCTGGAAAAGATAGAGATTTAAAAACAGAAGTTTATTCTGAAATGAAATATTACCAGCCCTTAGCAAATTTTTTTCTTCTTGAAATAATTCCCTGGTGACTCAATATCAAACTAAGAATTGAGTTGTTTTGTGAGTGTGTGTGGTAAAAGGGAGCAACAATTTATTTTCACTAGCTTTTGATATACTTGCAGGTAAATAATATGGAATAGAAAATGTGTATTTAGTCCCAAATATTCTTTTCGGTTGTGGTTTGTATCAGCAATCTGAAAGAGGCAGTAGGGCTGTCATGAGAGTATAAGTAAATTTTTACTGATTTAATTGAAAATGCATCCTCATGGAAAATCTGAAAACTGTAGGTTTGGTAAAGGAAATTACAGAATCCATGATTTTGGCTATTTAATGTCATTTTGGTGTATTTTGTTTCCTTCCATCTTCCATATATGAGTTTTTTCCCAAAACTTTATGGTTATAAATATGCTGTTTTTCCCTCAACATATACTGTAAATATTTTCTTAGTCTTTAGATACTCTTTAAAACATGATTTACTGTCTGAAAAATATTGCATATTTTGGATCTATGAGGAATATTTTTACATAAATCTTTACCCACATTTCAGGCTAATATTTTAGATTACTTTCTGTACATGAAATCACCACTTTATAGGATATGAACTTTATAAAGCATCATCATATTTCCAATTTATTTTTCCTAAAAGAATGAAACTTAAATTTCAAAAAGAGAAAAATATGAATAGAAAAATATAAAAGCTATTAACTTCTCACCTGAGAGAAATCTTAAAAAATATTAAGACAACTCCTTGATCTACGACAAGAGATTTTTGGCTTTCATGGAAAGGAATTCAAACTTTGTACAAGAGAAAAAGTCTTATATCCAAGCAGCTGCTGTTCTCTGTTGACATGCGTTGAACTCATTTCAGGACCCAGCCAGATTTCTTCATTCAGACAGGTGCAGAAGCCAGACTGTGGGCCCACTTTTGTCTTAATTTATTTTCCAACAGTCATCCTTTTGTTCATGTCAGTCAAAAAATAAAGATGTTTTCAAACATTTACTCTACTTATAAATATACCTGCTTCTATTTAAGTAAGGAAAAACATGGGCAATATTTCAAATGAGGCACATTTAGCTTCTGAATTTTTAACCCAATTATACAGCAATCAGAAAAATAATTCTCATTAAATTTTCTGTTTCTATAGGAAAATAATAGTTGTTTAATACTTACTTAAACCAGAACAAAATCTAGTACTCCCTAACGTATCTTCCTTCATTGCAGTTGAATTATCCACATATGTAATGTGGTTTTCTTAAGTAACTGCTGATTAATAAGAACCAACATTTTAATCTCCATACTTATATCCATATTCTAAACTCTCAATGCCTAGTGAATATACAACTCTAGGCAAAATGACTTTTAGAATCATCCATTTAAAAATATCAGGTGGTGTGGAATCCTTTAATTTCACATCATTCTATTTCATTTTTTATCTTTAAAGATTTTTTTCATGAAACATTCCAAACATATACTATAAAAAGTATAAACAATACTGTTTACCATCACCCAGAATTTCAAAATTTACATCTGCTTTATCCATCTCTAGTGGTGCTACAAATTCTAGACTTTTTAATCCTCTCAATCCTATGTATTTCCAAATACATCTCTGAAAATAGGAATATCTTAAATAACCACAATACCATATTCACATTTAACAATTCTAGTTGCTCGATATCATCTGGCATTGAACATCATCTAAATATGAAATACCTTGGAATCCAGGTTTTTTAGGTAAGAATAAAAATTGCTTCTTAGACAACTCATTTATAGGCTTAGAACTACTTGAAATTCTGTTCCTTTAAATAAAAAGAGAGTTACATACACCAAATTCTGATTCATTGATTGTAAAGTAACTTTTGATCTTCAAAATTTGATTTGCCTAAGCATAAAATAGCTTTCTTTCTGCTCTCTAATATGCTAAAATGTAAGCTGCTCATTGCGTGTCATTGATTAATTTTTAATTTCTCTCAATTTTCTCATAGTGCTAGTTGCTTATACTTCTGCTAAAATAGTGATTATTGAATTTTTAAGAGGTGGAAAAATCTGTAAGTGGTAGTCTGGTGAATTTTCTGTACCCATCACTCCTATCAAATAAAACAAAAATCCAAAACTAAAAATCCCACCACAAGAATTCATGTGAAAAAAAAAAACCCTTATTTATACATTTATGCTTTCTATGTTTATTAAATTGTTTGTTTCTTGATATGTGACAAGTCAATTAAAATTTTAGGTTCTTGAGTGGGACTTGGGATGAACGGGATAGCCTCAGATTAGGAATATTGATATTCACGCAGCGTAGAGAAAAGGGCTTAAAATATGATTATTACTTTATGTTATTAAATAAAATACATCTCTTTTTTTTTTCCATGAGGGGTATTTAATACCAGAATAATTGGGAGTGGCAGTATAACTCTGTTAGGAAGAGAAGATAAGGGAAAATAACACTCAACATATTATAATGGGACAACCTCTGAGGTTTGTGCTTTCAGTCCCTGAAATGTGATGCAGAAATAACAAAGTTCATGGTCACCTGAACTCTCTACCACACTGAAATGTTTCTAAGATGTTTCTTGTCGAAAAAGAGCAGATTTTCCTGCAGCTCAAGAGGAGGCACACAGAAGAAATAAATATTCTTGAAGAAGCAAAAACATATGGCCTGGGAATAAATTTATCATAAAATAAATGCAAATAGAAGTAAAAAACATAAATAAGTCTCATTCTTTATTAATCCTCACTAGAATTTATATTGTATTGCTGAAAGCCCAAGGTTGTCTCTACCTAGCAGCAATATTTTTCAGATTCCTTTTTTTTTTATTTCCCTTAGTACTAGCTTAACCTACTAAGATATGTTACTTTATATTTATCATTTTTAATATAGTTAGGGACAAATAAAAGTATTTTTATTATTGTATACAAGTGAATTATAGTGTAACAAACAGAACAGTTTTTATATTCATGAATAATGGATCTTTAAGATAATTCCATTATCTATAAACTGTATTTATGAATAGTGGGTTCTCATGAATTTTACTCTGCTAAGCTCTTTTGCTCTCTTTAACAAGCATATTAGCTCAAAATAATTCTTTGTAGCATTATTAGAGGCCTACTTATTATTTAAATTCCAACACTACTCTTACATGATTGTATATATTTTCAACAGTGATTCTTTTATGGCACACCGAGAAAGTATGAGACACATGATGAAAAATTTTTCTGAACCTTTTGGAAGAGATTTTCTCAGCATCTCTGATGGTAGAGGAAGAGCTCATAATCATAGAGGACATCGTGATGGTGAAAATTCCTTGGCTGTAAGTTCTTTATTTTAATATATTTAATAAAGTTAATGGGAAGGCCTAGAAGGAAATTGAAGTGTTACAGAAGAATACATCTGTAATAATAGGACATGACTAATACTTATATTACAGAAATAACGTATAAAAGAAGGTACTGTTAGAAAATTGGTCCTGTAACAATGAATTCTTAGTTTTATAGAATTCCACCGCACTGCCAGAACTTTTAGGACCATAGGGTTATGTATTATTAGCTAAAATTAATGCATTATTTTTTGCTTGTATGATTTTTTTCTCACCTTAGAATTTCCTTTCCCTGTGATTTAAATTAGAGCAGACAAGGCAATACTCTTTCTGTCCCATAAAATATTTATTTTTTCACTTTAAAATGGCAGCAAATGCTCTAGTATCTTGCATTATTTCTATGGGACCCAGAAAAACTGATCTTCATGGCTAGATTAACTGTAGATTAACCTTTAACTTAGATTAACACAACTGCAATGATTTACTTATAAGTTTTGCTTGAGAGCAAAGCTAGACAATTGTTACATATATGTCAACTGAAAAAAAAAAAAAACCCAACAAAACCCAGGCTATGTGTATATCTTAATTATTTTACTTTCTGCTTATTTTATTTCCAGTATTTTCTCAGCCTTAGAAATGGCAGTTCTAGAATAACAAATCCTCAAGAAGTACTGTAAAGCTCAGTCTCAGACTTGAAATGTAGATATTTGGAAGTCGGCAAACATTGAATTGGTCAATTAAGAAACTTGAATAATTTTCCAGAAAAGCATTTTATATTTTCCATGTGCAATAATCTTAAATAAGAACAAAATATTTCAAATGCTCCTAAAAAATTCGATGGATAAAATTACATTTCCCATTTAAATGAAAATAATCTTCACATTCTTTTTTAAATATAAATGTATTGTTTAAATGTATATATATTAGTCACATTCCAATTTTCTTTTAGTGAGTGAATAGTGGTATTATTGTATATTGCTTTTACTATAGAACTGTCAATTTCCATAAAATTCTGAAATTAAGATCAAAGGAAAAATTATCAGAGCAAAAAAATCAATGATATTCTGAAATTTTTATCCTTTATATGAACATTGAGACATTTTATATATGTAGCTCCTTAGTTAATTGAAAGGAAACAAATACAAACAATAGCAACAAAAGGCATCATTGGCTTTTTGAGCGTGATAGTTGTCCTAGTCTTTTAAACTTTAAGTGAAAGATTTTACAAAGTTTTTCTATTCATGATGAGTTTGAAAATTATAGTTAATTATGTTGATGCTTTTAAGCCCATATGCATAAAAATCTATATTTTAAATAGAAAGCTAGATTTTTTTTTCATTTTTCGGACCATTTCTTGACATTTATGATCTTTGTCACCTATGTTATGAGGGAAAACAACAAGGAGAAGCATTAATTATGCCATTTTCTTATGTATTATTAGCATTTTCTTCAGTTCAACAGCAAACCAGTTATCCATTTGAGAAGGGATTAGTTTTCTTTAAAACTAGGTAATTTAATCTGTAAATATATTTAACTAGGCCATTTATAATTCAAGATAATGACATGTAACCATTTGACCTTTAGATTGAGTGATGTTAGTGCTGGAGTCCATTTAAAGTCTGAGATTTCCTTTCAGTAAAAAAACAAATATAAAAAGGAATTTTATTTTTACATCCAATGTATTTTGGTGATTGCTGTTCTAAATACACATTAAGTGTATATCATCTGATACAATTTATTATAAATTTTTTATGTGTAGAAGAACTGGGGTATAGGCCAGAGGCGTGGGGAGTGAGCAGATTCCCCACAGAAAGAGTGGGGAGCAGAACAGCCAGATTTACCGAAATACACTGCTGAGAGGAGCAGCAGCGAGATAGGAGAGGTCTGTTGTGCAATATATAGGTTAGCGGGAATCGCTAGCACTGAGCCTTAACCCCTAGGCCACCAAGGAGCCCTTATAAAATTTAATATAAACACAGTTTCCTCTATTTTTCAAACTATACAGGGAGAAAATTAACTATTGTTGAATGATTGTGACTTTTTTTATATACATTTTCCCAGAAGTTCAAAATTTATTTTCGACATTGGAAACTTCCAAGTAGTGAAAGTTTTAAATTTGTACATACGTGTCTAAAAATTTATTTTTATTCATCTGTTAGGAAATATAACTTGCAAACTATTAATTTTGATTATTCCATTTATTATACTTAATCTTCTTTTGCCAATCAAACATTAGATATTTTGAAATCTGTGTGTGATCCTTTTTTGAAGTCTCTATTTCTTGTTCTACAAATTAGTTATTAGGGAGGTAGTCATTAAGTTTTTTTTTGCCTAATATCTCTACTCCTCTTTTGAAATATCATTAGATAATTTTTATTTTTAATTGGTTACTGGTCTTCTAAAAATATGGTATATTGAGGAAATGAAAAATGATTTAATCTTAAACATTGTACCTTATGTTGTAATTAATTTTGGTGTGAATTTGCATTTTCTTTGAGAAGTGTGTCTCTTAATCTATAGCAAATACTTTCTCTTTTAACTGCCTTTAATAAATACTAAAGTTGTCATATTTAAAAGTGATATATGATTTCTCTGTTTGCCTGCCAGGTTCCTGCCATGCTCAACAATGAATATTAAGCAGATAATTTTAAAAATATATGTTGAGTTCTTTTTTATTTATCGGTTCTATAATTTTGTTAGCTCTGAATTATGTGATTATGTAGTGCATTTCTTTTTGGGGGATTGTATAATAAATATCATAACCAAAATTACTTGGATTTTTTCCCTAGGTAATGAATTCTCTTGTGCCTTTTGGCAGTTTTGGTGGTACGGTTCGTATCAAGCTATTTGAGCAATATTTTATGACATTTATTTTTCATTAACTCCAGCAAACTGAATTGGCATGCAGTATCACTTTTATAATGGCTTTTTAATGTTTATATTGAAAAATCTGTTTTGTGTGTTAAGTATATTTTAGATGTTTAGGCATGTGTTTTCTGAAGTAAGTCATATTAATATATATAAAATCAGTCTTCAAAAAGAAAAAGTGCATTTTAGAAGGTGAAAATTTACTTAATTTACAACAGGGACTCCATCTTTGTGTTTGAAAATTGGAGACTTCCACGTGTTTACGATGACTTTCCAAAAGGTCTAAAAACACCAACCTGTAGATGGACAAGTGTTAGGCAGCAGATGACTGGCACCCCACGAGCCCCAAACATGCATGATCTAAGTAGATTCTGCCATCTGCTGCATAATGACAAAACATACTCTCAGTGTGTAAGACTACCAGTTGAAAAGAACTTGAGTAGAATTAGTGTGCAAGAGAGAGGAGAGAAAGAATATAGTTTCCCAGTGAAAATGGTTACCCATCTCCTTCTGGGTAAATGGCCAAACAGTGTGGGCCTAAAACAGGCCACTAATAGCTTGCCACAAGGCTTAAGGTAGCTTCTGGCAGGGAACCATAGGAAATGGTCAGAAGGGGCCAGGCAAGTCTAGAAGGAAAAGAATAAAATCAAAACACAAGTCAAGATAAAGGCTGCCATTGTCAGCCTTCCCATGGGTCTCTCACCTAAGTCTCTTCCAAGTGTCTCATCCTGTTACCCCTAAGTCCCTTGTGCACGTCCAAGGCCAAAAGTAAGTGTGGCTGCTTCTTCACATGACTCTGTTCCATATGCTTCCTCCAAGTCTTCTTCTCCCAGCTTTCTCTCCCAAGTCTTTTTTAGCTTCCTCTTGCTGTTCAGCTGCACCCTTCTTAGATGGCGCAGGGACCCTGGAAGCTACCTTTCTGTGGGGATTGCACTGTTACACAAGCACATTTGCTAAGGTTCAACTTGGTTGCTTACTCTAAGACCTTATTGCAGTTTGTTTATGCTGCTTTTTGTTTCCCATGTCCAAGTGTGGCTACGCCATACCCAGCTTTTTCCCCTTCCCTGTTCCTTTGGGATTTGATCCTTTTTTTTCTGTGAGGCAAACTAAGGAATAAAATGACTTTGGGATTGTTCCTATGGATACATCTACGCTCTCAAGAAAACTTTTTTTTAACTCTCTTTTCTATACTTTAACCACTGTCTCCCTAAAAGTTTGACATGTATTTTCTGTGCTGACCAGAGCTTTTGGTGGGATAAAAATCATAGCACTGTGTTATCAGTAAAATGATTGGGAAGTTTAGCCTGCTGTGGGGGCACAGACAGAAAAGCACCTTTTGAGGTGGTACAGTGGAGGCCCATCAGAGAAGACTTCCAGAATCATTAAGGATTAATAGGAGTTTACCAGGACAGTCAAGCGGGGAGGGTGGGCAGGGGTGTTGAACACAGAAGAAACAGCATGTGCAGAGACCTGAAGATCAGCAGATCAAAGATATTTAGGATAGCTTTGCCCTAGAACATGAATTATAGAAGAATGGAGAGGGAATCAGGGACTTCTTTAGGCTTTGGGAAGGACTATGGACATTATTTTCACAGCAGGGGAAGCAGTCGGTAGTGATTACTCTGTTGGAGCTGGCCAAATTCAATTGAAAACCTTTTGGAAAGGATTCACCATTCTAGAAACCATTAGAAGCATTCGTAACTCATGGGAAAAAAAGTCCAATATCAACATAAGCAGGAGTTTGGAAGAAGTTGATTCCAACTCTCATGAATGACTTTGAAGACTTCTGTGGAGGAAGTAATTGTAGATGTGATGGAAATACCAAGAAAACTAGAATTAGAACCTCATGATATACTGAATTACTGCAATCTCATGATAAAACCTGAACAAATGAGGAGTTGCTTCTTATGGTTGAGCAAAGAAAGCAATTTTTTGAAGTGGAATCTGCTCCTGTTAAAGATGCTGGGAACATCATTGAAATAACAAGGAATTTATAATATTACATAAATTTAACTGATAAAGCAGCATCAAGTTTTGAAAGAATTGACTCCAGCTTCAAATGAAGTTCTATTGTGGGTAAAATACTATCAAACAGCATCACATGCTACAGAGAAATCTTTCATTAAAGGAAGGGCAATTGATGTGGCAAACTTAATAGTTGTCTTGTTTTAAGAAATTGCCACAGTCATCTTAGTGTTCAGCAACTACCACTCTGATCAGTGAGCAGCCATCAGTATCGAGGCAAGAGCTTCCACCAGTATAAAAATTACTACTTGCTGAAGGCTCTAATGATGGCTAGCATTTTTTTTAATCAATAAAATATTTTTAAATTAAGGTATGTACATTTTTCAGACACAATGCTGTTATGCACTTAGCATAGTGTAGTGTATACATCATTTTATATGCATTGAGAAATAAAAAATTTTGTGAGATTTGCTTTATTACAATGGTCTAGAACTGAACCTGCAGTATCTCCAAAATATGCCCTATGCAATTATTCCTTTATGTTCCCCATGAGTCAACATCACTCTTGGCTGAGAAACCATCATTCTAGCATAATTCATAACTGTTCTTTCAAGAGTATACCCCATGCTTCAAGGGTTATGCTCTGTTGAGCTTTCTGTACTGGGCAGCAAATTGGTCTTATTAGTAGAGTGAATATACCCTTACTTGGACCCTACTGTGATGAGAAAGAGGACTAACTACTCTAGCAGCAGCTGCTATCAGCCAAATGGAACTGGGAGAGGTGCTGATACTCAAAATTTTATTTATTTGTGTGGTATAGGGTATTGAGAGGGAAGACAGAAAAATTTGAAGATCATTGTATGCCACAACTATCCCAGCTCCGGATACATCACTTAGTATATAAATATTAACCAAGTTATGTTTTGAGAAAGTTGATGATGTTATTTGTGAATATATTTAAATGTTTGTGCATGTATATATGTTTGTGTATATGCACATGCATGTATGCATGTATTTATAGTACATTACAATTCTCTGATCATATATATGTTGGCTTTTTGAGGTTTATTGTATGCTTCAATTTTTTCATTAACAAATCACTTTCACTGTATACTTAAATTATTTTTGCTTCCTCAATTGCTGCATGAGATCCCACTGCATAAATCAGAAAAAAAAATTTCATCTATTTTGGGAAGATTGATTTGCTGCTCTTGTGTTGTATTTGTAGTTAATAACATACTTCCTAATATCCTGTAGCGTACAGATGTCAACCCTTTTCAGGCAATGGACCGAATGATGTTAAATATGCGAAACAGTATGCAGGAATTACAAAGAAACTTTGTAAGTACCAATAAATTGATGAAAGAATTATTTTCAATTATTGGTAACCCTATATTATAGTGGCTTTCAATCTTTTTTAAACCATGGTCCACAGTGGTTGAAAAATATACTTACATCCAGTACATAAGAACTTGTGTATTTTATAAATATACTTAAAAGGAAAAGTTTCATAAAAAAAGGGCGTACGATTTATAGTATGTGCTGATATTTTCTATTAAATTCATATTTTAAAAATCCTGATCACAGCTCACCAAATTGATTTCACAACCTACAAGTTTGAAAAACAGCATTAATTAACTTTAAAAATTGAAAAAAAATTCAACCTCAAAAACATTTGTTTTGCTGAAGGCCACTATTATATAAACATTTTATATGAGTTTAGATTTTTTTTATTATTTAAATGGATTTGTAGGTTATAGAATAGTTTTGTTTAAAAAAATCTAAAAGTAATTTCGGAAATGTTTCGGCATTAAATTACGTCCATAAAGTCTAAGTACTTATAAACTAATTCTAATACTCTTGCTTCTCTATTCATTAATAACAAAACAATAACTTAATTTGATAAAAAAAAAAATACCCCTCTCATTTTAGTCATCCAGTTTGGAATCTAAGGATCATCCAGAATGTACGCATCTTGGGTCTTATTTTAGTAATGTGACAATCTGGTACTCACAGGAGGTATAAAACGTCCTGGTATTATGGTTAATTGCCTCATAGTTGGCAGAATTGCAAACAAAGGTCAACCGCTGAGTTGGCTTCAGGGCACAGCATCTATTTTTAAATCTAAGTAATAAGTTTTTGATTCCAAAGGTTTAAGGATCTCTGAGTGAATCACTCACAAGAAGAGGACTGGTACCTAGAATGGAAGGGGAGGGTAAGACATCCCTGAGGGTGCCATTTGGATATACCTTACTGATGTTATAGTACTTACCCTTAATAGGCCTTCTAACTAATGTAAATAAACCTCTGACAGTACTTCTTCATAATGACTTCATAATGACTGGATTTACTATTTATATTTACCTCTAGGGTCACCTTTCAATGGATCCTAATGGACATTCATTTAGTTCTTCTTCAGTTATGACTTATTCCAAAGTAGGAGATGAACCACCAAAGGTTTTCCAGGCCTCAACTCAAACCCGGAGGGCTCCAGGAGGAGTAAGTATTGTCTGAGCTTATTTATTCATTTATTCGTTTATTTATTTATTTATTTGTTTGTTTGTTTGGTTATTTATTTATTTACACAAGCACTGGGTACAGTCGGAAGCGCGGGAGGGTGAGAGAATTCACCAGAGCCAGAGCGGGGAACAGAACAGGCAGATGGACCGAAATACACTGCTGAGGGGAGCAACAGGTGCGGCAGGAGAGGTCTGCGAGCCATGTGGGACCCTCACCGGTGTCCGGGGATTGAACTGGCGCTGCAGAGGCTGCAGGCAGCTTTGCAGTCCAGCGCTCAACTGCTGCACCACCCAGGGAGCATTCTTAAAACCTTATGAAGATAAAGAATGATAAATCACCTATATCATTTTATTTATTTTAATTATTAAAATGTAATCTTGTACTATAGGTTTAGGGAAGACATGTCATTATGAAAAGCTTGAAAGCTAACTATTAAAGGCATTTTTTCATGTAAATATCTACTATTATTTATTTTTTTTTTTAAATATTAAATTTTATTTTTATATTCCCCCATACAATTGCAAACGCCCCATTCTGACCCCAATCCTTCCCCTCCCGCCCCCCACCCCCCAAAAGTGTCTCTGGTTCATAGTTTTTTTGTTGATTTTGATTTTCACTTTCTTATAGTTATTCATTTTCCTGGTCCCTTATTTAAGTTTTCTAGATTCCTGCTATGAGTGAGACCATCCGGTATTTTTTTTCTTTTTGGCTTATTTCGCTGAGCATGATCCCTTCCAGTGCCATCCATGTTGCTGCAAATTGCATGTGTTTATCTTTTTTGAATGCTGAGTAATATTCCATGGTATATATGTACCACATCTTCTTGATCCAGTCATCTATTTTTGGGCATTTGGGTTGTTTCCAAAGCTTAGCTATTGTAAACAGTGCTGCTATAAACATAGGAGTGCAGGTGCTCTTTGGAATTGATGTTTCTGTGTCCTTTGGGTAAATACCTAGGAGTGGAATTGCTGGATCATATGGAAGCTCTATGTTTAGTAGGTCCAGAAATCTCCACACAGCTCTCCATAGTGGTTGGACCAGTTTGCACTCCCACCAACAGTGCACAAGAGTTCCTTTTTCTCCACATCCTCGCCAACATTTGTTGTTGCTAGTTTTTTTAATATGTGCCATTCTCACTGGTGTGAGATGGTATCTCATGGTAGTTTTGATTTGCATTTCCCTGATTACAAGTGATGTTGAACATTTTTTCATATGTCTGTTGGCCATTTTCATTTCCTCTTCAGAGAAGTTTCTTTTTAGCTCTTCTGCCCATTTTTTGACTGGATTATTTTCTTTGTTGTTGCTGAGTCTCATCAGCTCTTTGCAGATTTTTGTGATCAGTCCTTTATCATTAGTTAGTGGGGTGCAAAAATGTTCTCCAGTTGGTGGGTTTCTCTTTGTTTTTGTTATTGTCTCTTTTGCTGTGCAGAAGCTCTTTAATTTGATGTAGTCCCAGCTGTTTATCTTTCTCTTCACTATCACTGCTTTGGGTGATGTGTCTGTAAAGATGTCTTTGATGTGCAAATCCCGTAGTGTTTCGCCTATATTTCCTTCTATGTATTTTATGGTTTCAGGTCTTATGTCTAGTTCTTTAATCCATTTTGAGTTGATTTTTGTGTATGGTGTGAGGTAGTGGTCAAGCTTCATTCTTTTGCATGTAGCGACCCAGTTTTCCCAGCACCATTTATTGAACAAACTTTCTTTGCTCCAATGCATAGTCTTTGCTCCTTTGTCAAAGATTAGTTGACCATAAATCTGTGGGTTTATTTCTGGATTTTCTATTCGATTCCATTGGTCTGTATGTCTGTTCTTGTTCCAATACCATGCAGTTTTGATGATTATGGCTTTGTAGTATAGTTTGAAGTCTGGGAGTGTGATGCCTCCATTTCCTTCTTTTTTTCAGTAGAGCTTTGGCTATTCGGGGTTTTGGTATTCCATATGAATTTCATCAATAATTGTTCTATTTCTTTGAAGAATGCCATTGAGATTTTGATTGGAATAGCATTGAATCTGTATATTGCTTTTGGTAGGATGGCCATTTTAATAATGTTTATTCTTCCAATCCATGAGCAGGGATGTCTTTCCATTTCTTTGTGTCTTCTTCTATTTCTTTTAACAGTGTTTTATAGTTTTCTTTGTATAGGTCCTTTACCTCTTTTGTTAGATTTATTCCCAAATATTTGATTTTTTTGTTTCGATAATAAAAGGGGTGGTTTTTTTTATTTCTTCTTCTTCAGATTTATTGTTTGTGTATAGGAAGGCTACTGACTTTTGCGTGTTGATTTTGTATCCTGCCACTTTACTGAATTGATTGATGAGTTGAATTAGTTTTCTGTGGAGATTTTGGGGTTCTCTATGTATATTATCATATCATCTGCAAATAGTGATAGTTTGACTTCTTCTTTTCCTATTTGGATTCCTTGGATGTCTTTCTCTTGTCTTATTGCTCTGGCTAGGACTTCCAGTATTATATTGAAAAGCAGTGGTGAGAGTGGACATCCTTGTCTTGTTCCAGATCTTAATGGAATTGCTTTCAGCTTTTCACCATTGAGAATGATACTGGCTGTTGGCTTGTCATAGATGGCCTTTATGATGTTGAGGTATGTTCCTTGTATCCCAAGAATTTCAAGGGCTTTTATCATGAATGGTGTTTGCACTTTGTCGAAAGCTTTCTCAGCATCTATTGATATTATCATATGGTTTTTATATTTCTTTTTGTTGATGTGTTGGATAACGTTGATTGATTTTCGGATGTTAAACCATCCTTGTGCCCCTGGAATGAATCCAACTTGGTTGTGGTGAATTATCTTATGGATACATTGTTGGATTCTGATAGCTAAAATTTTATTGAGGATTTTTGCATCAGTGTTCATTAGGAGATTGGCCTATAGTTTTCTTTTTTGTGTTGTCCTTATTCAGTTTTGGTATTAGTGTAATATTGGCTTCATAGAACGTGTTTGTATTGTCCCTTCCTTCTCAATTTTTTGGAAGAGTTTGTGAAGGATAGGCACTAATTCGTCTCTGAATGTTTGGTAGAATTCATTTGTAAATCCATCAGGTCCTGGGCTTTTGTTTTGGGAGGTTTTTAATTACCATTTCAATTTCGCTGCTTGTAATTGGTCTGTTTAGGTGTTCTATTTCTTCTTTATCTAGCTTTGGGTGATTGTAGAGTTGTAGGAATTTGTCCATCTCCTCTAGATTGTTGAACTTGTTTCCATATAACTGTTCATAGTAGTTACTGATTATTCTTTTGATTTCTGCTGTGTCCGTTGTGATTTCTCCTCTTTCATTTATGATTCTGTGTATTTGTGCTTTCTCCCTTTTTTCCTTTGTGAGCCTGGCTAGGGGTTTGTCTATTTTATTTATTTTTTCAAAGAACCAGCTCTTGGTTTCATTGATCTTTTGGGTTGTTTTTTTAGTTTCAATTTCATTTATTTCTGCTTTGGTTTTTATTATTTCTTTTCTTCTACTGGTTCTGGGGTTTTTTTGTTGTTCTTTTTCTAGATCTTTGAGCTTCGAGATTAGGTTGTTTCTTTGAGTTCTTTCTTGTTTTTTGATGTGAGCTTCTATTGCTATATATTTTCCTCTTATTACTGCTTTTGCTGCATCCCATACATTTAGGATATTGGTGTCCTCCTTGTCATTCAATTCAAAGAATTTTTTAATTTCTTCTTTGATCTCCTCGTTAGTCCAGTGGTCTTCCAGTAGTGTGGCTTTTAATCTCCATGAGGTAGGATAGTTCCTTGCCTTCTTTTTATGATTTATTTCTAGTTTGATGCCTTCGTGGTCAGAAAAGATGGTTGGTATGATTTCAATCTTGGTGTATCTGTTGATGTTTGTCTTGTGCCCCAGTATGTGATCGATCCTGGAGAATGATCCGTGTGCGCTTGAGAAAAATGTGTACTCCGTTTTTTTTGGGTTTAGTGTTCTATAGATGTCTGTTAAGCCCAAATGCTCTAGGTCCTTATTTAGAGCTTTAGTTTCTTTACTTATTTTTTGTCTTGTTGATCTATCCATTGTTGATAGTGGTGTGTTGAAGTCTCCCACTACATATGTGTTTTCTCTGATGTCTGTTTTCAGAGAGGACAACAGTTGTCTGATATATTTTGGTGCTCTTTCGTTTGGTGAGTATATGTTAATGAGTGTTATTTCTTCTTGAAGTATTGTCCCCTTAATCATAATGTAGTGACCATTGGGGTCTCTTTTTATTTTTTTGAGTTTGAAGTCTGTTTTATCTGATATAAGTATAGCTGTTCCTGCTTTCTTTTTTGGCCCATTTGCTTGTAGGATTGTTTTCCATCCTTTGACTTTGAGCCTATTTTTATCTTTTGTAGCTAAATGTGTTTCCTGGAGACAGCAAAAGGTTGGGTTTTGTTTCTTAATCCAGGCTGCAACTCTGAGTCTTTTTATTGAAGAGTTTAGTCCATTTACATTTAGAGTTAATATTGATATGTTAGCATCTGTATTTGCCATTATGTTTGTCTTTCCTTTGATTTTATTTATTTATTCTTTTAATAACTTTTTTTTTTTGGTCTTTTTTCGTTGTTATTCGTCCCTCTGAGGTTCTGGCTTTAGGATTCCTTGTAGTATTTTTTGGAGTGGGGGTTTAGTCGCAATGAAATTCCGGAGTTTCTCTTTGTCTGGGAAGGTCCATATTCTTTCTTCATGGAGGAAAGAGAGCTTTGCGGGATAGAGTATTCTTGGTTGGCATCTGTTTTCTTGGAGTCTGTTGACTATGTCCCTCCACTCTCTCCTTGCCCGTAGTGTTTCTTCAGAGAAGTCTGATGTCAGCCTGATTGGTTTTCCTTTGAATGTTATCTGTTTCTTCCCTCTTGTCAGCTTCATTATTTTTTCCTTGTCCTGGATTCTTGGGAGCTTTACTATTATGTGTCTTGCTGTGTTTTTCCTTTCGTCGTGGAAGTTTGGTGTTCTTCTTGCTTCTTGTATATCAATTTTCAGCTCCTTCTTCTCATTTGGGAAGTTCTCTTCAATTATATCCATGAATATTTTCTCTGTTCCTACATCTCTCTCCTCTCCTTCTGGAATTCCTATAACTCTTATATTTCCTTTCCTCATGGAGTCAGATAGTTCCCGAAGTCTTTCTTCATTCTTTTTCCTTCGTACTTCTCTTTCCTTTTCTGTTTTGGTTCTTTTTATTTCTGTGTCTTCAAGATTACTTATTCGTTCTTCCATTTCATCTATTCTGCTTTCATTGCTTTTCCCAGAGTTCTTTAGTTCCTCCATTAATTCTTTGATCTCCTGCATTTCTCTTACTTCCCTCTTTAGGGACTCAATTTCCTTCTTCTGATCTATCACTTTTTTAATCATGGCAATTTTAAATTCTCTTTCTGGAAGGCTCAGAAGTTCTTCCAAGTCGCTGTCGTTGCAATCTGGGGAGTGGTTTTCTTTTTGTGGTGTGCTTCTTTCCTGAGGAGTTTTTAGGTTGCGTGTGGTTCTTCTACTCCCTACTGTCTGTTTTCTAATTTGTCGTATGCGTTGGGACACTGTGTTGCTCGGACTGACTGACATCTTGGGTGAACTTCTTCGCTCCCTCTGGCTCTTCCAGGAGCCATCTCTGTCTTCTGGGGGAGCTTTCTGCTGGTTTTAGGCAGTTTTTACTGAAGAAATGTCCCTGTTCTCAAATGGCGAAGCGGGATGCAGTCCCTGCGCCTCCGGTTTCAGGCACACTCTTCTGCGCACCCGGTCTGCCCCGGACGTGGGTGCCTGCTCCCTCTGTGGGCTCAGACTGCTGGTCGGAAGGGGCCTGGCGTGGAATAACTTCCCGGCTGGCCACTGGGTCCTCCAGAAACCTTCTGCCCTTTTCAAGCAGACTTAAGAAATGTCCTGTTTTATAGGGTGTTAGTGACTTTTTTTTCCCTGGTCACTAGGTGGCGCCAGAGATCTCTCCTATTGTCCTTGGGGGGCTGTTTTTCGCCTCCCCCCACCCCGTGGGACAGAGAACAGAGCGGGAATGGTAGGGTACACCTCAACAGCTTTGGGGTGCTGTGTCTGCCTTGTGCCCCACCGTCGTGGAGAAACCACGCCCCGAATTTTCGTGCCCCGGGTCTCAGTTCAAAGCCCTCAGGTCCAGGACGCGGGCTGTAGCCCAGTTCAGTGGCGCGGGAATGGCGCCTTTTGCACCGCTCCCGTGCCTGGGCGCCTGGTTCCTGCTTACTCAGGGAGGGACCTTCACCTCAGTGAGGACCTCCGTGCGTCTCCCCGCAAGCCTAGGTCGTCTCCCCGCAAGCCTAGGTCGCAGGCGCGGGGACCTGGGCAGCCGCGATCCCGGTCTGCACTTGCTTTTCAAGCGCGCCAGGCGCGCCGCGTTTCCCGCGCAGGCTTACCGGCAGCCCGGGCTGTGTGCGCGTCTCCCGGGGTCTTTGTTCTTCTCTAATGGCGCCCGGAGCCGTTCGCTCACCGCCGTGGCGGATCCTGCAGGGTTCGCCTCAGCTCCCGTTCACGGGGTGTGGTGGCTGCAATAGTTCCTTTCCGCTCACAGTCCCGCTTGCTGCGTCGTTTGTTCTTGTTGGTTGTTTTGGTTTGTTGTTTCCTCCTCTCTGCCGGTCGGAGAGTGCCGCCTCTGTGGGCGGGGGAGGGGAGCAGGGTTCTGCGCTTCCCTCCCTTCTAGTCCTCTTTTATGGCCACTTTCTTCTTCGGGCAGTTCGCTGGCGTCACCCGTTTATCTTCCGTGTCCCACTTCTCACTGGGACCTGCCGCTTTTCCTCCCTATTCACTTTTTTTAATGGGAGATCTTACTCGCAGCGTCTCCTCGCCGCCATGTTGCTCCGCCCCTCTCTACTATTATTTATTACCCTTATCTGTTGACATGGTACGTAGACACTATAAGAAGTCTTTGTTTTATGAAATAAATGTCTATTTTTAGTTTATATTTGAACTAATGAAATTTTTAACTCATGAAACTTTTCAAGTATATGGAAAGGATATGCAGAATAATATACTCATTCTTTCCACTCAGTTTAGTCAAATCATAATATTTTTCTATATTTGCTTTAAATTATCTCTAGTTTTGTTTTCTTTGTAAGCAAAAAATATAGGTGCAGTTGAAGCTTCCAGTGCACTCCTCCTTGGTCCCTTTTCCCTTTCTTCCATCCCATAAAGAACCCTTTTCCTCTATGTGGAATTTATCGTGTTTTTACAATTTTATTTAATAATAATAAACAATGTAATTATTTTACAGCTTCTAAACTTTTTATATATTTCTTTTCAATGCGGACTTTTATTTATGTTTTTTTTAAAGGTTAACAAAAGGTTTATTTACAAGGGAAGGGGAATGAGGAAATATACAACTCAGGGAGAAAAGAGGGAGATAAATTCTTAAATGTGTCCTACCCGTTCCACCCACCTGGAATCTCAAATGACCCACTGAGACCAAACCTGCCTGGCCAAGAGCACGAGCCAAGTGTGCCTGACCCCACTAACATGGCTGGGTTTTATTTACAAACAGAGAAAATGGCTGTTTAACTCCGCCCTTAGGTCCTCGCCACTTCCCTTTGGGGATCCTGGAATTTGTAGTTCTAAACTTTTTATAAATGATCCTCTGCAACTTTATGCAGGTGTCCTCTAACTTGACTTTGCTCAGTAATATGCTCCTGAGATTTATACAAGTCTGTATGTGTAGTTCTGGTTTCCCTAAATCCTGTGTATTACCCAGAATATGAATATACCACCATTTTTCAATGTCTGAATATATTAACCTCTCTTGATATATATTTAGGTGTTTTAATTGTTTACTTATTCATCTTTATATATCTCCTTGTGCAAAAGGCCTACGATTGGTATTGTTGGGTTGTAGGAAGTATGTATGTTCATTTTCATCTAGAAATTGCCAAGTTACTATCACAAGTTACTATCACAAATAGTAATTGCCAAGTTACTATTTGTAGTTTTCATCTACAAATTGCCAAGTTACTGTTGCCAAGTTGACTCCCACTATGATATGAGAGTTCTCATTCCCCTACTTCCTTTCAGAACTCCTAGTAAAAAAATATTGAGGTTACTTGCATATGGTTGTGAATATTTCATTTTTTTTAGTTCACACATATAAAGAGGTACCTTTTAGTGATGTCATAGTACAGCTAATTCATCTCAGACATTTTAATTTTCTGTAAGGTACATCTTAAATGTAAACAGACTATTAAGTGTAGATATCCACAGCAAACCATGTTAAATAGCCTGTGACTATCATAAACATTTTTTTTTTTTTTTTTTTTTGTGGGACCCTCGCCAGCGGCCGGGGAACGAACCAGCACTGCAGTGGCTGCAGGCAGCCTCGCAGCCCAGTGCTCAACCGCTGCACCACCAGGGGAGGCCTACTATCGTAAACATTGTAATAACACATAAAGTTTATAGGTGGGAATATGAGATTCAAGCCCATCAACACAACTACTGAATAGTTAACCTTACTTGTAGGAATGCTAACATGAGCCCCCAATATATATTGTCACACTATAGCAAGCACTTTTTTATACTTTATCTTAATATTAAATTATGTTTTGTAAAAATGTTAAATTATGTTGGTTCTATTTGCCTATACTTTTAAATTTTTAACCAGCCCATTAAATGTCAGAGAACTGTTTACTGTATAGTTTCGGTAAGGGTTGATAGTTGTTTTTATTTTTTAAAGATTTATTTATTTATACATACAAGAACTGGGCTATAGGCCAGAGGTGTTGGGCGGGGGAGGGGGAGTTAGAGGATTCACCAGAGACAGAGTGGGGAACAGAACAGGCAGATTGACTGAAATACACTGCTGAGGGGAACAGTGGGTGAGTCAGCAAGTCATGTGGGTAGCTCCCTGTCCGGGGGTCGAACTCGTGCTGCAGTGGCTGTGGATAGCTTCATAGATTGCGTCTTACCCCTTGCTTCACCAGGGAGGCCCTGGTAGTTGTTTTTGAAGCAATAAATCTGTGATCCTGAGAAGTTTAGATTATATCCATTATATTTAAATAATAACTAAGTAATTTTTAAATCTTCTTTAAATTAACAGATAAAGGAAACAAGGAGAACATTGAGAGATTCTGACAGTGGACTAGAAAAAATGGCTGTTGGTCATCATCTTCATGACCGTGCTCATGTCATTAAAAAGTCAAAGAACAACAAAACTGGAGATGAAGAGGTCAATCAAGAATTCATTAACATGAATGAAAGTAAGTTATCACAGAAAATAGTTTCTTCCTCTTAAAGTTAAAATAGCAACTGGGGGACTCCCTGGTGACACAGGGGGTTAAGTCTTAGCACTATGAAGCTATTGGCATGAGTTTGATCCCCAGCCAGGGAGCAGCCCACATGGTGCAGCAGGCATCTCCTGTCTGGCCCGCTGCTCCCCTCAGCAGTGTATTTCAGTCGATCTGCCTGTTCTGCTCCCCTCTCTGTCTCTGATGAATCCTCTCACCCCCCAAAACACTGGCCTACACCCCAGTTCTTGTGTGCATAAATAAATAAAGAAAAGTTAAAAATGATGTAAAGAAGGTAATTCATAAGGTATTTTGATATAGTTTATGAATAATATGTGTAGAAAATACCTTATTGAAGTAATAAAATTCTGGTTTTGTCATTTCATAGATTTTTATTTATTTATTTGTTTGTTTGTTTGTTTGTTTGTTTTGTTTATACATGCACTGGGTACTGTCAGAAGTGCGGGAGGGTGAGAGAATTCACCAGAGCCAGAGCGGGGAGCAGAGCAGGCAGAAGGACCGAAGTACACTGCTGAGGGGAGCAGCGGGCAGCAGGAGAGGTCTGCGTGCCATGTGGGGCCCTCCTCCGGTGGCCAGGGAGCAGCCGCGGATCTGCCGGGGATCGAACCGGCGCCGCAGAGGCCGCGTGCAACTTCGCAAACCAACGCTCAACCGCTGCACCACCGGGGAGGCCCCATTTCATAGATTTTTTTAATAGTGATTTTTGTTAATGTTGGTTATCATTTTTTGTTTTATACTTGAAAAATGTAACCTTTTGAATAGTTATTTCATAAGACTGTCGGTAGATAAAGAGAAATTTAAAAATATTTTTCATTATCAAAGAAGTATATTTGAAAAATATAAAGGAGAAATTTTAAATTATCCATAATTCCAACACAAATAGTAACTGCTTTTAGTGTTTTATTGTATTTCTAATAGCTTTATATGTATATAACTTTTTTCAATTTATATTTTTTATATAGTTTATATCATGCTTATTTTGAGTCACCATTTTAATAGTGAACAGTCAGCTATGATGTTATTTTCTAAACCATTCTAAATGGTTATTTAAAAGTTTTGTCATGGGTATACCATCACTTATTTAAATCATTGGTATTGGTATTGGTATTCAATTAGGCTTTATATAGATAAAATTTTAATTTCTGGTATTGTAAATAATATGTATGTATCTAGTGAATATTTCCATTTTCTAGATTTTATATTCATCTTCCATGCATTTAAACCTTTCCAGTGTCCTAATTCTTTTTAGAGATTTTAAGTAATATTCATTTACTCTTTTTTTTTTTGAGATATATTTATTTATGCATACAAGAACTGGGGTATAGGCCAGAGGTGTGAGTGAGTGAGAGGACTCACCAGAGACAGAGTGGGGAACAGAACAGGCAGAATGACTGAAATACACTGCTGAGGAGCGCAGAGGGCAAGTCAGGAGAGATCTGCTGTGCTATGTGGGTAGCTCCCTGGCCAGGGATCAAACTTGTGCTACAGTGGCTGTGGATAGCTTTATAGGTTGGGTCTTAATCCCTTGCGCCACTATGGAGGCCCTATTCATTTATTCTTTTGTTAGAAAAGTATTTAAATTATTATTTTATTTTTTTTAATATTTATTTATGCATATTAGAGCTGGGGTACAGGCCAGAGGTGTGGGGAGTGAGAGGATTCACCAGAGACAGAGTGGGGAACAGAACAGACAGACTGACTGAAATACACTACTGAGGGGAGCAGCAGGCCAGACAGGAGTGGTCTGCCGCACCAAGTAGGTGTCTACCTGGCTGCCTGGGATCGAACCCATGCTGCAGAGACTGTGTACAGCTTCACAGCGCTGTGCTCAAGTGCCTCTGCCACCAGGGGAGGCCCTAAATTATTATATTATTTTAGAAAAAGAAATTCTATAAAATTAGAGTTTGATAAAATTATTCTTATGCATGAAGATGTATGCCACAAAATATTTTAACCTTTAATTTTTACCTTTGTAATTTTGTCACATTAAATACATTTGGAGTACCTCTGTTCAGGAAAGTGAAGGAACAAATTATTATTATAAGGCAATCTGAAAGAATAAGTATTGTCATTTATTTATTTTTGCTCTTATGGAAGTTAAATTACCTACTTTATGAAACTTACCACAGAAGTTTGTGCGGCCAAGTTCATAGGAAGATAATGAGATAAATAGAAGTCCTGGCCACTGAAGGAGTGTCCAATAAAGAGAAATAGCATGATGACTATAAGATGACCTGAGATGAAAAAACACAAATCATTATAATTGGGTCGAAGTGCCCATCAAGTAGATTAATATGCTATCTAGGCAGGTATGTAAAAACCCAGACCATAAATAATCAAATTATCAGAAATGAGGAGAGGAACAGATAAACAAGAAATTATTACCATGTCAAAGACCTTTGTATTGGAAACAGTTTGCAGTCTGAGGTTAGGTTGATGGAAACACCAGGGAGAATGACTTGTGTAAGGAGCAAGGCAGTTACTAATATTTGATACCTTAATAATGATTGATCCCTTCATTCTGCTATCTAATGTAGGTGATGCTCATGCTTTCAATGATGAGTGGCAAAGTGAGATTTTGAAGTACCAAGGGGGACATCGGCGCAACCTAGAAAGTAATAGGATGCGAAGTGTTGGCCATGGGAATTCTGGTTCCCGAGAGATTAAAAGAAGGTAAAAGTTACTTATAAAATAATTGTTAAAAGTATTAGAAGGAAAGTTATGTAATTTTACCTCTGTTCCAGAAAGTTGTGATTAACATTCAAGTTGTTTATAGCAATAATCACCTTTTATGAAAAATGTAATTTTACATTATATCTGAATATTCCACACAAGTTTAAATTTGTATCTGAAAACCAGTAATACTTTAGGATTGTGTGATTAGTAACTCAGTAAGCAAATTACACTTAGAAGATTGGGGCCAAATCTTCCAAAGTAAATGTCATATTCCATAGTGTAGATATTCTTTTGGAGCAGATTCTGATCTGGTTAAAGCAGAAGGTAATCACATCATACCAGGTAAATTTATTGATGTCAAGAAATAAAATAAGGGGAAAGAGATTGTATTTGATTGGTTTACCAAAACTTCCCAAATAAGTTGAAATCCAGCATTTAATGGTAAATGAATTTTTAGGCACTTTTAATATATATATATTATATTAATATATAAGATATATTAGATATTTTGAAAGAATTTTACAAAAACTTTAGACTTCTTTGGAATTATCTTTTGAAATAGCTGTGAAAAATAAATATGCCAAAATCACAACTTAAAGATTATAGAGATTTTTACATACTTAGTACATTTAATAGAGTTACAATTTAATTTAGTTCTCTGGGGGAAAAAAATTGAAATCAATACCTAATTCCTATTGAAATTACACCCAGAGAGAAAGGCCTCACCGGGCTTTAAAACAGAAATCTGTTCTAGGGTGTAAGAGTGGAGCATTGCTGCAGAAGGTGGAAGGCTTCACAGAACCAGCGGTGGACAAGTGGGTATCAATAAATCAGAAGCCTTATACAGACTTTCATGTGATAGCACCTTGTCTTTTAAAATGCCTGTTTAGGAATTTAGAACCCTATATTTTCTATAGATTTACTTGAAAACTTGGTCCCATATTACTTTTTGACAATATTTGTCTCAGTTTGAAAATTCTGATGACAAAGCTAACATTGCTAAGTTTGAATGTGAAGTCCAGGTTCCACAGCATGGAGAAAGCATACTAGAGCTTCATAAATCTAATACCCTAAAAGGAACATTTTCTCTGAACTAGCACTGAGAATTAGAACATTATCAAATGATTTTCTGCAGTGATGAAAATATGTATCTGCACTGTTCCATATGGTAACCTCTAGCCACAGTAACTATTGGACTCATACTTGAAATGTGGTCATGACAACTGAGGAACTAAATACTTAAATTTTAATTAATTTAAATATAAACAGTGTGACTAGTGGCTACCCTGTTGGACAGCATAGTTAAACTGTAAACAGTAAAATCTATCTCGGGAAGACTGTTGCTCTGCAATTTTAAGTGAAATAGTCTGCCTACTATTTTTCAAAGCTATTAAGGGACTTTTGAGATAAAACTTTCCTTACATTACAGTGATTTTTACATGTTTTGTATTTTGATTTGTAAATTGCTGACCATCTTCTAAATGATATTAATGTTCAAACATATATTTTCTAGGGAGAAACCTCATCAAAATCCAGCCATCGAGAAGGGAAAATCAAATGCCTTTGTGGACAAACTCAACATCAAAGGATCACCTGTGAAAATCAACAAAAAATAAATAGGCTTGCATTTGATTTATTTAGTTTTGTTTGTTTTAAAAGAGAAAGTAATGGTGCTGGGTAATACACATAAGACCAATCTCTTGTTAAATCACTACTGTACTTATTAGCAACTTCCTTCTGATATCTGAATGTTCTTGGAAGTGCTAGCTTTATATTATCCTTGCTTTAGTAATAAAACCTTGTTTTAAAACAATGCAAATAAATTTTTAGACATTCTATAAAACTCTTTACTGTAAAACATGCTCATTTTCACTGATTTAATTTCCCCATTTTTCTGTTAAATATATATTCTCATATTCAAGAATGAATGTAGAACTAGTTCTGTCATTTATAATTAGTTATAAGAAGGTAAAATGTTCAAAAATAGTCTGATTTTTCTCTAAAATTGTACTAGAGTGAATGTTAATAGAGGTCTAAATAATTTATCTCAATTTAATAGTACACTGTATAGCCTGCTAGTTTGAAATTTTAAAGGAAAATAAAGCAAAATTAAATTGGTACTATTTTATGAGATTTTAGTTATTTTGATTAAAAAACATGAATAATCAAAGAGATTATTACTTATTTTCACAGAGATTTTAACTTGCTAGCATGCATGAGTTTTCTTCTTATAATTTCTCTATACAGTATATTCTTTTTATCCCATATTACATTCTTAACATTTATCAGACTTTATATTGACCTTTCTTTAACTTTTTAAGTTAGTATTTTCCTGCTCTCCTTTCCCACAAACAGCTTAATCTATCTCCAAGGTTAACATTCTAAAGTTGGAGTGCCCTTGGAGAAACTCCGTTCAGCCTTTCTGTGACATTTAGAAAGTACCTTTGGTATTCTGTAACCTGAATGATTGATTGTCTCAAAATTTCTCAGACAGGTGATGTGTGTGTGTTTGAACAAAGTCCTTAAAAATTCACTTGTTCCCTTTTGTAATTATATCATTTAAAAATCAGCAATAGCATTTTAATTTTAGAGTTCAAGCATTGTTCTATTTTAAAAAGGGTTGAAGTTTATGGAAATAGAAAATTTTAACCCTTGAGTTAAGTCTTTGTTCTTTAAGAACTGTTTCTATTAAGGGGAGAGGCTGAACAGGAAATTCACTATCACTCTGTAAGTATTTTTCTCTTTTAACTTAGGAAGCAGTTGCATGATTGTGCTTATCTTCTAATATTCTATATCATAGCCTATTATTTTACTATACAAAGCCTGTTATTTTACTATACTGTATTTTATTTTACAGTAAAATTAGATGCAATGTGAATTCATTTTTATAAGTGAAAGTAATTGAGCATGCATGAAAGAAGTTAAATTTTGCTCTTATGCATACTTCTTAGTATATTGATAACAGCAGGAAATTGTCAAAAGGTGTAAATTTTAAATAACATCTTTGCATAAATTCAATTCACAGAGCAAAGTCTTGAAAGAGTAGATACTAGCTATTCTCCTTTTGCCTAGTTCAATTACACTGATAACTTAAATCATTATATTCCAGTATGAAAACACATTGATCAGTAATGTGTCTAACTTCAGACTTTTTCTTCCAAATTTCTTTATCATGGAAACCAAATAAAAATTGAATATATTTTTTCTTATGCCTCTATGATTCCTACAGGGAAGAGATTTATAAAATGTGAGATGCCAATTCTTTACGTTCACATGATGATGCTGGTTTTGACTTTTTTTAGAATTTATTTTTACCATCATGCTAAAGTTAGCTTTATCATATGCCAAAGAAGGTTCTCTGTAGCTTGTGGTTCACTTACTGTTTTTCTCTGTAAGGAAAGCCATTTGATCTCTCTAGAACCTTGAGTCTTTTGAGAATGCAAGGTTATAAACAATTTGATGACTGTGACTGTGACAGTTAGGCCAAGTTGCATACATAGGCTCCTCGCCACTTTTGAAATTTTCCTGAAACTTGAAGTTATACTCGGCATTAATGGATGTATTCATCAAAGCAGCTTACAAATCCTTTATTGCAAATTAATACATGTATGATATACAAAAAGTAAATTCGAAATTCATCATTGAGCCTCTGTGACTTTCTGATTTCTATTCATTTGCTCTCATTCATTTTTTTAAACAAATGTTTATGAACACCTAGCACATGCAAGACATTACAGCAATTAACAAAACAAAATCACTGTCCTCATGAAATTTATAATCCATTGGGAATGTCAGACAATAAATAGGTACGATGTCTAAATACATCTAAGAAAATGCTCTAAAGGAAATGAAGCTGGTGAGAAGATAAAGGGAGGAACTTGCTGTTTTATTTTATTTTTTTATTTAAAATTTTATTTTATATAATTCTTACATCTTTTTTCATCTTTGCACAATGTATGCATTTTCATTTTGGTTATATTCTCCATACAATTGCACCTTCCCCCTTATTTTGACTGTTTTAGAAGGGATAGTCAGGGACCTCACTGATGGATAGTATTTGAGAAGAAAGGGAAGAATCGAGGCATGTCCTGGCGTCTGGGGATGGGCAAAGCCTGACTGTGGACAACAGAGTCCAAACAAAACCTTCTGGGTAGTGGTGTTGCACCGAACCATTCCTCCAGCTGGCCTTACAGTCTCCAGACTGGGGGACTGGAGGAAAGTGGGGGAAAGTAAATATTTCAGAGTTTAGTTTTTAAATTTTAGTTATGAAAAGTTCAAATATACACTAACAGAGTTAACAGCGAATTCACTGAATGGCTGTTTTCAGCGGAAAGGACGTAGTGCGGTTGTGCTGAGAACCCTGTGCGTGGCAGCGGAACGAGAGCCGGTGATCTTTAGGGAGTCATTACGGTAATCCGCTCTGCAGCGGGGCAGGAGCAGGGGTCACTGGAGGTGATTACGGTAGTTTCGAGGGGGCGGTGGTAGTGGAAAGCGGCGGGATCCGGCCACTTGCTGAAGGCAGTGCTGCGAAGTGTATATATAGGTATACATACGTACCTACGTGTGTGGGGGGGTATCTTCATACCAGGTAAATTTTATATATATATTTATATATATATAGATGGCCCGGGTGTCAAGGTGACACATTTTTTGGCCTGGGCAACTCAGCAAGTTTCCACTAATGAAGTGGAGAAGACATCAATGCAGTGATTTGGGGAGGAAGATCAGAAATTCCATTTTGGACACACAAAAGTCGAGTTATCACTAGGAGATCCGAGTGGAACTGTCATGAGAGCAGAGCATATGGACTGGTCATATAACGTTTAACATCGAACGATGTCAACATGAAATTTTTAAAAAGCACGAAATAGTTCACTACTTTTCCATGTTCTTTTAAGATTATGTCCTATAGATCATTTTTTCATTTTTTTTAATAGCACAGATTAAAAGTTTGTCTCTCACTTAACAAGCATTTCTCCAACTGCTGTGTAGGCAAAGCAACTACTAGAAAAGCCACATCTTCCGGGCCTCCCGGTGGCACAGCAGGTTGAGCACAGCGCTGTGAAGCTTTCCGCAGCCTCTGCAGCGCGGGTTCGATTCCCGGCTGGCCAGGGAGATACCCACCTGGCGCGGCAGACCTCTCCTGGTGCACCCACTGCTCCCCTCAGCAGGGCTTTCAGTCTGTCTGCCTGTTCTGCTCCCCGCTCTGTCTCTGGTGAATCCTCTCACCCTCCAGCGCCTCTGGCCTGTACCCCAGCTATTGTATAAATAAAAAAATATATATTTAAAAAAAAAAAGTCGCATCTTCCTGGGAGCCTTGACAGTATCCTGCGCTCCGCAAAGCGCTGCACTTCCTCCTCCCATTAGGCAGGGGGCGCCAGAGCGGCTGGGGGCGTGGTTCCCCTCGGAGGGCCTGCGCTCCTCCACTTCCTTCCTCTCGCCTCCCTTGCGACCTTCGCCCCGGAAGTGTTCCCGGTGCAGCTTGCGGCGTGACTTTGAGCGCTTGACGCCAAAGAGCCGGCTGCAGAGCGGACCTGGGGCCGCGGGACCTCCGAGCCTGTGCCGAGTTATCATGAGGCTGCTGGGGGTCGCTGCCGCTGCAGCGGCTCGGGGCCGCGGGCCGCTGGCTGGGGTCCCTTCCTTCTGGGGCTGGCCGGGGAGGCAGGTACTGTACCGGGATTGCCCTCCCGGTGAAGGTAGCAAGGACCCCTCACCACAGCCCCGCGTGTCGGCGGTGGGCCTCGGGGCTTCAGGAGTTCACCCCCTTACCCCGGCCCCTCCTGACCGGAGCTGCGAGTGCGGGCGGTCGGCCCGGTGCATGCACGTTTCTTGTTATTGGGGATCATGGTTTCGGTGCCGGGAGGTTGCACAGGCCCCGTAATGCTTCTTATTTGTGGAACTTCGAGCTAAGTGATTGCAGTACAGGTCTTGACTGCTGAAAAGATAGTGTTTCTAGGACTCGAGCCCAGGACTAGGTACTTTTAATGCGATTTTCATTACAGTGTCTTTGGGCTGACCGTGTCCTCTCTCAGCCCATCCTGGGTCATTTGATTAACCTTAATCTTCCCAGTACTTTTCTTGGGTCTTGTTCTTTATCAGATAACATAGATGATTATGGTGTTATTTTTGCCTTGGGGCGCCGGGTGGGGTAGGATCAAGTGGGAGTTGAGCATTATCCTTTCATGCAAAGCTTGTTTGCTGTCCTGTGTCAGTGGAGTTAATCACCTGAGCATCTGTCTCCCAGAATCCATGTAATAAATAAGCCACCTTTTCCAAGTTCTTCTGCTTCCCTTCTCCCCAGAAGTGGCTGCGTGCATTTTGGAAGTGCAGTCCTTTAGTGAGAGGTTTATATTGTGTCTTGATTTCGTAAAGTGCAGGTTAACTCTTAACTGTATGGGAGCTCTAAGCCCCACTACATAGAGTGTAAGTCTTCAAACATCCCCTTGCTACCTGTGAACTACATTAAGGAAAAAAAAATCAAAGTAAAATTTAACCTAAAATCTGTATTTCCTACTTAGTTGTTTGGGAGCTGTGTCATTCTGATTTTTTCGGCCCAGTGTGTCTTTTCAAAACTGTAACAATTGGTAAAGTATATGCCCCCTTGTATTTCAACCCGATTTTTTTTCTGATTTATTTATTTACTTTTAAGAATGCCTTTTCCACCCTCTCTTGCAGATAGTTTCTTCTTTGTTTACAGGTTGAGATAGTCCTTTTATCTATGCCTTTCTAATCCGTTTCCTAAGATGTTTTGTGTCCATTAGATTCTTTGAGGAAAGATATCTCCCACCTCCATTCTAATTAGCCATTGTTACTTCTTAAAAGAAAAAGAACATTGAACAGAACTCTCATCTTTTCAGATTAAATGGAAGGCCTGCAGATGGTGTTCATCAGGGGTGATTCCTAATGAAAAAATACGAAATATTGGAATTTCAGCACATATTGATTCGGGGAAAACTACATTAACGGAACGCGTGCTTTACTACACTGGCAGAATTGCAAAAATGCATGAGGTTTGTGCTTCATGGTTAATTCCAGATTTAGTGTTTGATTTTAGTTGACAGTTGTGATTTAATAAACTTCACACAATCTGAAAGATTAAAGGAATGATAACTTGTTCTTTAATCAAAGTTGTACCACAGGCGGTTAGTTGAAGTTGACTTGAAATGCTGCTCTCAGTACTCTGTCTAGAGACCATCAACTGCGGAGACTTGGGTAGGCTGTCTCTTAAGAATGTTAAGTCAATATGATGTACCTACACATAACATTAAATAGTATTTACATAATTTTTAATCTATTATATAGAGAAATATTTGTAATATTAGGTGGGACAGGGCCTTAAAATGATACGTATTTTGAACATAAAAATTAAATGCATTCATCAAACAAAAAATAAGAAAAATCTTAACTCCTCTGAAGGAATTACCTGATCAATAAATAGCTTAGCTCTCCAATTTAAAATATTTCTTCCGATAAAGGTTATTTTGTGAAAGTGGGAAGAGAGGACCATGGATTGTGGTGGAGGGCTGGAGGTGTGTTGGTGGTGGGTGTGGTCTGGTGACATGCATCTAACAAGGTGTGATCCTGTGCCTTTGAATGACATACAGTGTTGTAAACCAATGTTACCTCAATTAAAAAATAAAGTCATTTTGTTAAATCGCATGCTTCAAAAGTTGAATCCTTTCAGCATCCTTGTATAGCACAGCTGAGAAAGATCCTTTCTCTGAAAGTCAGCTTATAGAATGTCAGGCTTTTGGGCAGGAACAGTGCGGAGAAACAAGACTGCTTCTGCAACAGACTCCATTGCTGTTAGCAGCTCCAGGGAAGGCAGTAAAACAAGGGTTTTGTGAAACCTCCAGTCACTGTTCTATTTCATGACATGCACTTTGATGGTTCAACTTTTTTGAAATTGCATCTATTAACTGTTCTGGTTCTACATGGATAAAGATTTCTTTCCTTCTTGGAATATAAGAGCTCTAAATCCCTTTGTTTGTGTTTAGGTGAAAGGTAAAGATGGAGTTGGTGCTGTTATGGATTCCATGGAACTAGAGAGACAAAGAGGAATCACTATTCAGTCAGCTGCTACTTATACCATGTGGAAAGATGTCAATATCAACATTATAGATACTCCTGGTGAGTGGAGTTCATGATTTTTTCAAGCTTGTTTTGACAAAACCACATTTAAATCTTTATTGTGGGGGCCTCCCTGGTGGCACAGCGGGTTGAGTGCAGTGCTGTGAAGCTGTCCGCAGCCTCTGCAGCGTGGGTTCGATTCCTGGCTGGCCAGGGAGATACCCACATGGCACAGCAGAACTCTCCTGTCACGCCTGCTGCTCCCCTCAGCAGTGTTTTTGGTCATCTGCCTGTTCTGTTCCCCACTCTGTCTCTGGTGAATCCTCTCACCCTCCCGTGCCTCTGGCCTGTACACCAGTTCTTATTTAAATAAATAAATGAATATAAGAAAGTGAAAATCAAAATCAACAAAAAACTATGAACCAGAGACACTTTTTGGGGGGTGGGGGGTGGGAGGGGAAGGATTGGGGTCAGAATGGGGCGTTTGCAATTGTATGGGGGAATATAAAAATAAAATTTATTATTTAAAATAAATAAATAAATAAATCTTTGGGGAAAAAAAGAAAATCTTAAGGAAGAAAAACATATTAAAAATAAATAAATAAATATTTATTGTGACCCAACTCATTTTTGAGTATCAAAATATACTCAAAATTGTGCTGCGAAATCCTAAGACAAATCTGTCTTGGTGCCAGAAGCATTTTATCCTACGTCTTTTCCTTGAAGAACAGTACAAATAGTGAGTTGGAAGGTTCTTGTGCACATGTTACAAAGATGCTGGTGCTCCCAATCTTTTTTGAAGTGATCTTGTTGGGCCTGGACCCTATGGTGAGTGAAAGGATGGTGGTTTAAGAAATCTGCCTTCTAATTAAAAGACTTATATAATGAGCAAAGATAAAACGTTTTAATTTAGACTGCTTTAAGACCACGCACACCTCTTTGTCTCCTGTAGGACATGTGGACTTCACGATAGAAGTTGAAAGGGCCCTCCGAGTGTTGGATGGAGCAGTCCTTGTTCTCTGCGCCGTTGGAGGGGTGCAGTGCCAGACCATGACTGTTAATCGGCAGATGAAGCGCTATGACGTTCCATTTCTAACTTTCATTAATAAACTGGACCGAATGGGCTCTAACCCAGCCAGGGCCCTACAGCAAATGAGGTATTGAACCTTAGAAAGGAAGGAGTGGTTTGATCTTTTGGATAATAGACCTTATATCCAAAGAGGAGCTAAATCAGTGTCATGAAGCTTTATCCTTAACATTATTTTTCTTTTAAACATTTAATTATGTGACTGAATAAGTGGAACACAGAGGCCAGTAGTTTGTTCTGTGGTATGATCCCATCAACTACCTTCTCTGTAGATGGAGCAAATACGATTTAAATTCGTAGGGATATTGAAGGTGAATTTAGAATACAATCTGTCAGTTCATACTGTTTTATAATAATTGAAAAAGTTATAATCTAGAATAGATTTTAAAAATACTTTGTATTTATTTAGACAAATCTTGAGGATCCTCCACAGGTAGTATCCCATGTCTCCTTGCTTTCACATGGTGACATTTGCTGGGACAGAGGCAACACTTGCTTTCTGTAGATTTCACACAGCCTTTGAAAAGAGTCAGTGTTTAGCTCTCTACCTTTTGTAGACAGATGAAGTTGTAGAGTTACTACTCAAGCCCCACACAGCAGAGCTGATGGATGTGACAGTGAAGCTTGTGGTACTGGAGAGACTAAGAGTGATGTGTCTGAGGACAAGTCAGTAGCATTGGGAGCACTTTGAGGGCAGTGTTGCATGGACACTCTGGTGGAGTATGGATTTGAGAATGCGAGAGTAAAATGTTCTTTTCATGGGTGTTGGTAATATTTTCTTATTAAAAAAGTCTTTTGAATTCCAGGAAAATTCTTTAGCATTTGTTGGGCTTCTTGGTTCTTTGCTCTACTCCCTTTTCTCTATTTTCTCATTTTGTAACTCCCATTAAATAGACCTTGGAATTCTTACATCTGGTCTCATGTCTTAACTTTTCTACTATACTTTCTCATATTTTATGTTTCCTCATTTTACACTGAGTTATGAGAGAATTCTTGAATTTAATCTTGATAGACAAGATTATTATCCCTTCAGCAGAAGGAATATCCTGCATTCCTGTTAGCCTGTTCTTTTTTTCTTAATTGCAACAATTATATAGTTAATTTCCATACGTACTCTTGTATTGCATAATCTTTATTAATAGAGCTAATTTTCAGATCTTTATTTTCTTCTAGTAACTCTTTTCTTCCTGGTATTGTTTCTTGAGCTTTCATCTCTTTCAATGCTTGGTTTCTTCAAATACTTGTGATTCTTAGTTATTGAACCATAGTTATAGATGACACTTTCATTCTAGACTGCAAGGTGGTGTCTGGAACATATTTCCTGAGTGAGAACCCTGCCATGAGCGTGGTTGCTGTTCAGTGGTTTGTGCCTGATTGGGGCACAGGCTGCTGATGAGTGCCCAACTTTAATGCCTACTCTGGAGGTTTTCCTCTAAGAACTTCCTCTTCACTTAGCTGCACTCAGCTTCTTCAGAGTCAGCTCATCAAGAACGAGATATGGGCATGATTAGCCTGCCATTCTTTAATTCCTGACCAAGCACCTATTACCCCCTTCAGTTTCTGATCCACAGTATTTGGGACTCGGAGGGAAAACACTAATTTTACAATTCTTTTTGTTGGCTAAATAGGGATTATGGCTTCCTGAGTATGTGAGTTTCCTTGTCAGTCTGTTCCCGACTGTTGCTGATGACTCCTAGTAGTAGTACAACATATGCTATTGATTTCCTTTTGTATTTAAAGGGATTTCAAAGGGATTGGGAGAGGAAAAAGAGGTAAACATTTGTATTTTTATTTTCCAGGTCTAAACTTAGTCATAATGCAGCATTTGTGCAGCTACCCATTGGTTTGGAGGGTGCATTTAAGGGTGTTATAGATCTTATTGAGGAACGAGCCATTTATTTTGATGGAGACTTTGGGTAAGTGATAAAAATATACTCTTAAAATAGTATATTTTTGAAAGGATCAAAGAGAAGTAAAGGATGAGTTCTTTAAAATATAGGATGAGTTCTTTAAAATAAATTGTGACTGGAAGAATATCCTCTAAGATGATGATTTTCAATGTTCATAATTGTAACTGTTCCTGTTTTGCTCAGTATTCATTCTAAGGGTGAATATGTTACTTTTGAGATAATATATTTATATCTCATTATGACATGTGGATGTGGTAGAAGGAAGTCTTCAACTTGGGCTAATAATGTCTTATCTCTTTTTTCACTATTCATTCATTCATTCTACAAATTATTTTTTTAAAGATTTATTTATTTATTTATTTATACAAGCACTGGGCACAGTCAGAAGTGCGGGGGGGTGAGAGAATTCACCGAGCCAGAGCAGGGAGCAGAGCAGGCAGAAGGACCGAAGTACACTGCTGAGGGGAGCAGCGGGCGGCAGGAGAGGTCTGCACGCCACATGGGACCCTCCTCCGGTGGCTGGGGAGCAGCCGGGCATCGAACCGGCGCTGCAGAGGCTGCAGGCAGCTTCGCAACCCAGCACTCAACCGCTGCGCCACCGGGGAGGCCCTCATTCTACAAATTTTTATGGCACAACTGCTATATATGTGGGTATTGTGATAAAAGCAGGGCAGAAAACAGAAATCAAAAATACTTGTTCTGCCTACTTCATGGGGCTTACAAAGATAAGATTAATATGCAGAAGCAGTTAAAATTGTACAAATGTGATTTGGGCATTGCAAGAAGCAAGCAAATTGGTAACTTGTATGACATTTGGTCTATCAATAAGCTTTTGAGTGACCTTTGCATACAAAGTACTTTAATTGCCCAGTGGCTCCCAAACCTTGACATTCAGAAGAATCATCTGGAGAGCTTGTTCAAACATACATTCCTGGATCCACCTTCAGAGATTATGTCAGTGGATCTAGGATGGGGCCTGGAATTTGCAAATTTTGGGAAAGCTCCCAGATACTGCTGTGTTGTAGATCTGCACATCACACTTTACGTGTATTGATCTAGATAATGTGAGGAGTTACATATGCACTTTCTTTCTGAAGCATGTTCCCAGAGATCTGGCATTTTCCCTAAAGGTCTTTGCTGTAGAGCAGGGTTGCTGATTTACACATGGTGAAGGGCACTATTGTGTTCAGTTGACTGTCATTCATCCTCATCAGCTACCTCACAGTCAGGGATAGAGGATGAGCCTATCCAGTGAGGGAAACACCTCTCTCACTTGTCGTGACCACTCAATAATAACAGTTAATCAGTCATTCCTTAGAGTGTAAGGCCCAAGAGGACAGTCTTTTTTAGTAGGTTTACATACTGCTTTGTCCTCAGCTCTAGGCTACTGGATATGCATATTTTGAAATGACTCCATAGTTGATTCTGACATGAAAGGCTAAGAACCAGTAGTTTACCAGGAAGGATGAGATTAAACTCTGAAGACAGTGGAGGGCATTCTCTAGGATAATATGAATTATTTCTATTTGTTTGCAGTTGATTTCTTTGACTTTTTAAATTTTGGAGTGTGTTTTCAGAAAAAATAATTTTTGAAATTAGTTTCCATTTTTAAAGAAATACTTTGAAAACTTTTTAGATACCAGTTTTTTCCATTTCTCAGTTGTGTATATTTTATCTGTGATTGTTACCTGTTCAGCCCCTAGAGGAATGGAGAACTGGAGTCAAAGTTGAAGAGTCTGTTATATTTAGTAATCTTTTTACTTCCAAAATGAGCTATTCTATGTTAAAGATAGTATGACTGAGTTTGTTATTAGTAGAAGAGAGTAATCAGGTCTTTAATCCTGCTTGTTGGAGATTGATAATCTGATTAACTTGGTTAACAGAATTTTGACGAGCTAATAGGGTTTTGGAGTTAGGTTGGCTTTGAATCTTGGCTCTTCCATTTATTCATCATACACACTTGAGTAATTTGCTTTTTATGCCTGTTTAAAGTATTTTTACCACTGTTATGTCTGAATGTTAAAGATATATAAGTCGCATTTATCATTTTAATGCAAATATATCATCTAAAATATCTTAGTCATTATCTTTTATATTAACAGTATATGTTTTAATTGAATGTTCTTAAAAATCCAAATGAACTGTTTCTTTTCTTAGTCAAACTGTTCGATATGGGGAAATTCCTGCAGAATTCAGGGCAGCAGCAGCTGACCACCGGAAGGAGCTGATAGAATGTGTTGCCAATTCCGATGAACAACTTGGTGAAATGTTCCTTGAAGAAAAAATCCCTTCAGTTTCTGAATTAAAGGCAAGTGCTCTCAAATGAAGTCTGATATTAACAAGAAAAAGAGGGACAGGATGAGGACATGATGCTTAATGCATGGGTTTTATTAATGAACACTTGATTTAATTTATTTAGCATAATTAATTAATTTCTTCAAGAAATAATTGATATTCATTTTAAAAATTTAATTGGTGAGTTATGTAATATCTTAAAGTGGTAAAGGAGTCACAGCTTTTTCTAGAAACAGATATGTAAGTCACCAACATCTTGGCTATATCCTTACTAAGAAAAAGAAAATTATGTAAACATTACAGCAGTAAGAGGGTAAGAGACGAGGCTGCTATGTGTTTACAGACTACATGTTGGTACTTATACTATTGAACTATTTGGAAAGCCATCATGGTTTTTTAAAACTTGTTTTTCTCTTTAGAAATAAAAAATAAAAAAAAGATCCCTGCCTAATACTGATCTTTTTTTATTATAGATTTCTCCATAGAAGATAAAAAATGGCCTTTAAGCACACAAAAAGATTCTCAACATTCCCAAAAAATTCCTTAGAAAATTAAACATAGAACTGCCATATGATACGGCAGTTCCACTTCTGGATATGTATCCAGAAGAATTACGAGCAGGGACTCAGTTATTTATTAATTTTTTAAAAAAGATTTATTGATTGATTGATTGATTTATACAAGCACTGGGCACAGTCAGAAGTGCGGGAGGGTGAGAGAATTCACCAGAGCCAGAGCGGGTAGCAGAACAGGCAGACTGACAAAGTATACTGCTGAAGGGAGCAGCGGGCATGGCAGGAGAGGTCTGCGCACCATGTGGAACCTTCGCTGGTGGCCGGGGATCGAACCGGCGCTGCAGAGGCTACAGGCAGCTTCGCAGCCCAGCGCTCAACCGCTGTGCCACCAGGGAGGCCCTCAGTTATTTTTAGACCATTGTAATAACAGTACTATTAACCATAGCCAATAGGTAGAAGCAAGCCAAATGTCCTTCAGGAGGTGAATGGATAAACAAAATGTAGATGTTTGTGTGTGTTTGTATATTGTGTGAGTCTACATACAATGAAGTATTTGGTGTTAAAAGGGAATGGTAGTCTGGTTTATGCTACAATGTGGATGAACTTTGAAGAAGTTATGGTTAGTGACAGAAGCCAGACATAAGAGGACAGTGCTATGTGATTGCACATACATGAGCTACTCAAAATAGTCAAATTCCTAGAGAGAGAAGGTAAAACAGTGGTTGCTAGAGACTGGAGGGCAGAGCAAAATGGGGACTTTAATGGGTACAGAGTCTCAGTTTGGGATGATGAAAATTCTGGAGATGGCTAGTGGTAATGGTAGCACAACAATGTAAATGTACTTAGCACCATAGAATTGTACAATTAAAAATAGCTAAAATGGTACATTTTACGTTTTACCTTAATAATTAAGAAAACAAACCTGTTGCTCATTTTGCTCAGTTCCTTAGTGCACTTGGCAGGACTAGAGAAGTAATTGTTGTATATAAGACATTGCACTCTTGAAATTTATAGTAGATCAGATGTACAGGGAAAGAGCCCTGTTGAAACCAAAGCTACTTATATCTTACAACTTGAGTCCTTCATATTTACCAAGGACTTATAGCACCTTAGCTCTCTAAGGAGTAAGAACTACCATGTAGGAAGGTACAGGCGTGGAGTAGAGTCAAGCATCCACAACAGAAAATTAGGTTTTTGTCTATTGAAGGGAATGTGTCAGCATCCCCAAGACCACTCCCAGGTTCCACGACTCATTAGGACTCAGCGCAGTGACACTCACAGCTATGATATATTAGAGTGAAAAGACACAAAGTAAAAAAGGGAAAAGGCATAAGAGGTGACATTCAGAAGAAACCATGTGTAAGTCCTCTTCCAGGAATATCATATGGAACCTGCCTAATCCTCTGGTTGATTCCAGATAGCACCTGGGAAATGTCTGCCAGGGAAGATCCTTAGAAACTCAGTGTCCAAGACACTGAAACCCTCTGCCTAGCATGTACACAAATTCCAGAACACCAGAAGGAAAGCAGGTGTTTGGCACACACCACATTATATGTGTAGATGGCTGGGCGTAGGGAACCATTCGTATCTGTCTGGAAATGATGGCTGCCCTCCTGAAACCCTGGTTTCCACATCACTGCCAGGGGCCAGCCTTGCAAACAGGTCTTTCTAAGCATAGTTTTAATCCTGCACTGTTCCCTCTTTCTTCACAGGATATTTGAGTATAATTTCTGTATTGTTGGTGGATATATTATAGTTAGGGACAGTGGAAAAGCAATGATTTTCGAGTGTGAAAGTAATTCTTAGAAAAAGGGAAATTTTTGGAAAAAGAAAGCTTTTGTTAGGATGTGTGAGGGATAGTTTTAATGTCTCCTTTTTGCTACCTACCACTCACTTTTTCTATTTATGGATGTAAAGTAAGCATAAGATTCTTATATGTCCCTTGCATATTTGCTGGCCTAGGGGAGCCTAAATGGTTAAAGATGTGCCCTCTTCTGCTCCAAGCAATAAATAGCAAAAGCAAATTTCAAAGAGTAATTGCTTCCTCCTGTGCTTATTGTCTCTTTATACTTCCTTTTATCATGCTCAGCTGTTCTGCTTTTCTTTGTGATGTTTAGAAATTGTGGTTATAATGTTTTGCTTTAAGCATATTTAGGATAACTAGTTTTCTGCCTTTTCATGGGAACTTGGAAATAATTGTGTGGTGGTTCTGTGTTTCTGCAGTGGCAATTTGTGCTGCTAGAGTTAGTCTATTTGTGCTGCTTACGCTGAAACCTGCTTAGCCAGTGGGGCCACCAGTGGAGAGCCAGTGGGACACTGAAGGTGCTTGTGCTGAGGATTTTTGTTGAGCAAGTTACTATCATGACCCTTAATTTGAGTGTTTTATACTGTTTGGCTTCCATATATAAGGGGGGAAAGCTAGTTAATTAAATGTTTTTCAGTAGAGGCTATTTTTCATATGGTTTAAACAAATAAAAAGTATACAAAGGTGCACAGTAAGAAAATCTCCCATCTCACATCCCATCTGCTCAGTTCTCTGCTCCCTTCCTAAAACAGGTTACCAGTTAATAGTTTCTGGCATATCTTTCCAGAGATTTTCATTTTTGGTGTGTATATATTACTTTTCCCTTTATTCTAGACAATTGTTAGCATATATTCTATTTGTCTGTTTTCTCTTTCTCTCTCTCTCTCTGTGTGTGTGCGCGCGCGTGTGTGTGTAACACCAAATAGAAAATTAGTGACATTCTGAAAGAATTGAAAGCTGTTGTATAGTAAATTGCTTCCTAGCTTAAAAAAAGAAACAGATATTTCTTTTACTTTTTTTGTGTGTTTTGAACTTAAGTTATAGAGGATCTGCTTCTAGTCTCTACTAGAGCCAGTACTCCACAGGATGTTCACTCATTACACTCATTTGTTTGTAATCGACCTGAAACATAAAATGCTGTTTTTAAGATTAACCATTAAATATTTTTCTTTTGTAGCTTGCAATTCGAAGAGCTACTTTAAATAGATCATTTACTCCTGTCCTTTTGGGAAGTGCCTTGAAGAACAAAGGAGTTCAGCCTCTTTTAGATGCTGTTTTAGAGTACCTCCCAAATCCATCAGAGGTCCACAATTACGCTATTCTCAATCAAGAGGAGTAAGTCTTGGTAGTGGAATCTTAGTTTATGCAGAAATACTTAAACGTTTATGTACTATGAAAGAATTTAAGAATAGTTCTTGTCATTTGGTTGTGTTTATGCCTTTTCCTTTTTTCATAATTTAAAAATGTCACCTTTTTGTTTGGTTAACAGTTTTGGCATATAGAAAAAATGCTTATTCTATAAGTTCCTATTTGTGAGTTAGAATTTTGTTTTATTATGGATAAAGGTTTAACATGAGAAAATTTCCTTATTTGGGGCCAGATATGTCGGTTATGTTAAAAATAAAAAAAGCTTCAAGAAGCCTTTTCAGGCTCATTCTTTTTTTTTTTTTTTTTCTTTTCAGTCTATTCTGGTCTTCTCACAATGTAGTAACTGACTCTGAGAATTACCCAGAGGAGTTATTCTTATTGACCTTTTTCAGTGAAATTTCACTTATGAGTGAAGTCAGAAATATTTAACAGTTGTGTTTTTTCTCAACTCATACTCTTTGATGAAACAAACTGATAGCAAATTTCAAATGCTGTATCATGCATTTACATTTCTTTTCAGTAACTCAAAAGAGAAAACCAAAATCTTAATGAACTCGAAAAGAGACAGTTCCCACCCATTTGTAGGCCTGGCTTTTAAACTGGAGGTAAGTTGCTTTCTAATGTATTTACCTACTGTATGTGGAAATTGTCTTTTCTTTTAGACTTTAGGCCTATTTGTTCTAACTCCCCATTTAAGGCTATTTATTCTTATTTATTGTCTTTGATCCATTGTCGTAAATGGATATTAAAGTCCCCTAGTATTACTGTGTTACCAATATCTCCCTTTAGTTCTATTAATAATTGTCTTATGTATTTTGATGCAGATGTATTTATGAGTGTTATTTCTTATTGTATTAAGTCATTAATCATAATACAGTGTCTAGCTCTACCTCTTGCTAGCTTTCTTAGTTGGAAGTCTGTATTATCAGATATAAGTATACCTGTTCCTGAGTTTGTTTGGTTGCTATCTGCTTGTATAATTGTATTCCAGCCTTTAATTCTAAGCCTATGCTTGTCTTCGTTGGTAAGGTGGGTTTCTTATAAGCTGCAGAAGGTTGGACTTTGTTTTGAAAACCCATTCAGCCACTCTACATCTTTTGACTGGTGGATTCAGGCCACTTATGTTTAAGGTGATTATTGAGACCTCTGTTCAATTGCTATTTTGTTATCTTTTGTGTGTGTTTTGGTTTTGGGGGTTTGTCTTTTTTATTTTTTTAAGATTTATTTTTTTTTATTTATGCATACAAGAGCTGGGGTGTACATGGAGGGGTGAGAGGATTCACCAGAGACAGAGTGTCAAGCAGAACAGGTGGCTCTACTGAAATACACTGCTGAGGGGAACAATGGGCAAGACAAGAGAGGTCTGCTGCGCCATGTGGGTTAGCTCCCTGGCCGGCAATCAAACTCATGCTGCAGTGACTGGCGATAGCTTGATGGCGCTGAGACTTTAAACCCAGCACCACTAGGGAGGCTTTGTTTTATGTGTTTCATTAATTTTTGTTTGAGAATTCTACTTAGGTTAGTATATGATGGCTGTTTATGTGATCCTTTGAACAGTCTAGTTTCCAATTCATTTTCTTGGACAATATTGTTACTCTCTTCTTCCTCCTCCATGTTAATTGATTTAGGTATCTGATGCTTCTATTTTCATTGTTACATTGCTTTATAATCCTTCAGAACTCTTACATGTTCAGCTAGGTGTTGATAAATTCATAGTTTTTACTTTTCATTAATCCCTGATGTAGGCATGTACCAAGGCAACAACTTTTTTCTTTTTTTTTCTTTTTTTTTTGTGGGACCCTCGCCGGCAGCCGGGGAATGAACCGCCGCTGCAGAGGCTTGCAGAGGCTGCGGGCGCTCAACCATTGCACCACCAGGGGAAGCCCCAGCCCTCCTTCTTGTGGGTTGTACTGCCCCCATATTATTATAAACAGAGTTCACTTAAAGTTTTTCCTATCCCCTTTCACCAGATCATTGCTCCTTGTTTATGCTGTGGTTGTCTGTTTTTCCCTTGGGTTTTGACTTCATTTTACTGAAGTCTAGTAAATATTTGGAGGAGGTGAGTCTGGTGTCTTGAGTCTGTTGCCATCTACCTGGAAACTCCAAGATTTTTATTTTTACCAAATTTATTCATCTAAATGATAATTTTTAAATCACTCAAATGTTTCAAAATTCCTCTGGGGATTTTGATAGCTGTTGTGTTAAACCTATAAATTATTGTGAATATGATTTACAACTATTAGTGTCAGTATTCAGGAGGAATTTATCCTTGATTATTCATTTAGTATTCAGTCAACTCTTATTTATATAGTTTTCCAGATGATTTTTGGATTTGTTTAGATGTATAGCAGTCTTACCATTTCTAATGATGGTGTCTTTCCATTAATCATACTTTATTTTTGTTCTGTATCTTTTGTTTTAAACTGAACTTATAATATTGGAAGATAAAAGGATATTTCCTTAGCGTATAACTATTTTAAAACAATTTCTAATGGCTTATTTTGGATGAAACAGAAGCACATCTTGGATTATAAGATTTACCACCATGTGTGTTCAAAGCTAATGGTAAAGTAGTTTATGAGAGTAAACCAGAACATGTAGATAAGATCTGTTACTAAAATTGATGGGGACTAGTCTGAGGTAAGGCGTGAAATTTTTATCTAATTTTTTTTTCTTATTTTTCATTCTTTTGGCATTAGGCAGGTCGATTTGGACAGTTAACTTATGTCCGCAACTATCAAGGAGAGTTGAAGAAGGGTGACACTATCTATAATACAAGGACAGGAAAGAAGGTGCGGGTACAGCGGCTGGTTCGCATGCATGCTGACATGATGGAGGCAAGTACAGGGTCAATTTGGTGAGATCAGAAATTTCTCCAATGCAGGTGAAATTGAACTACCTTCTTACATTTTGTGCCCCACAAGAAAATCACTTCTAGTTGAAAATCACTTCTAGCTCTTTCTTTTAAACTTAGGTTTGCTATAATTCCAGTATAGCACTTTCATGTTATGGTTGTCAACAGTGAGGGTAATAGATTCATAAATTATTTCCTACATTGTTCAGTAAATTTACTTTTCAGGGTGTTATGAAAGCCCTGTTATAAAGCAGGCACTTTTTATTCCCATTGTTAGACCCCCCAGAAGAGTACTGGGGGTACTGGAATCCATCTGAAAATATAAAACTTAATCAAGATCTGATCTGGGAGATAAGCTTTGGTTTATGACTTATATACTTAGGTTAGTTCTGAATCTGTCCTTGTCTTTTGTGGCCCTTAGGCCTTGGCAGGAGTATTTAGTGTGAGGTTATCGTCTACTCCCACTCTTTCTCAGTTCAGCGATATATTCCTCGGTGAATTTATCAGTCTAAGCAAAATATTATGACCCTCAGCAATTTTTTGGTGTCCATAACTTGTCTGTCCTGAAGATGAATAGGCAAATCTTTCAAAATCAGAGAGCATTGCTATTTGTGATGCAGACAGCAGGGGGCAGGCTAGCAGGCTTAGTGATCGTCACAGCTGTGAGAACTGTACAGCTGTGTAACCATTAAAGAGAAACGTGTATAGCAACAGCTGTTATGAATGAACTGTCATTATTAAAGGACAAAACTAGGAAGCTTAGAGGCACCAATGCTTTGTTCTTAGATTTCCTGTGTTTTCTTGGCTGTTTGCATCTGTTCGAAATTTAGAAATTAAGATTTTAAGTACAATGGGCTCCAGTCTCCTTTTTTTTTTTTTTTCACAACTTCCTCTGCAGGTTTTTCTTGTACATCTTTGTTCCATACATCTCATTGTTGAACCCAGCCTTGCTCTGTCAGTACTACAGATCCTCCGAGTAATGATTCCATTAGCTCTGAGTTTTCATTTATAGTAAAATCTTGTTGATTATATATGGTTTAAGTAGGACACTGATTAAGAAACGCCTTAGCATGTTTGATGGTGGTGTTGTATTGGCTCTACCTAATTCATTCTTTGTAGAATTCATGGTTAGATTCTGCCATGTTTATTTTTTACATGTGTGTATTGTGCAATTACTTTTTAGTTACCATGTCCTGATTTGTATCACTTGCAAGAATCATTTTGTGTTATTTCTTTATTAGGATGTTGAACAAGTGTTTGCGGGAGACATCTGTGCATTGTTTGGCATTGACTGTGCTAGTGGAGACACATTCACAAACAAAGACAGTAGTGGCCTATCTATGGTAAGTCTTACATTTCAAAGCTGTTCATCAATAGAGTTTCAAAAGTTTTTGTAGTACTTTTAGTACTTTAGTAAAACAACCACAGCAGTTTTCATTGGATGCCACAGGCATTAAGTATAGATTGGCCATGGGTCTTTGAATATCAGTTCAACAAGTGTTCTAGTTAAGCTGTTGTAGTTGGGTTTTTATGGTAAAATAATTCTGTGACCCTTCGAAGTTAAGCATGGTGGAAAGAGGTCCACTACAGCTAAACTGGGTGGCTCTGAATCCTCTCCCTGAGACCTACCTTCCCATTAAGGGTCCTCCTCTAGTTCCTGTTACCATAATCAGGCTAATCCCATTGGGATTAGCCCCTTCATAGCAGCCAGAGAGTAGATCCTTTCCTCCATTCCTGTAGAGAATTGCAAGACCAGATGGTAGCAATAAGACTAGACTTAGGGATAACAGACAAGGCTCCAAAGGCAGGAACCTAAGCAGTCTGTCTGTCTTTTTTTTTTTTTTTAAGTTAACATTTTTTTTTTTTTTAAAGATTTATTCATTTATGCACACAAGAGCTGGGGTACAGGCCAGAGGTGCGGGGGGTGGTTAGAGAATTCACCAGAGATGAGTGGGGAACAGACCAGGCAGATTGACCAAAGTACACTGCTGAAGGGAGCAATGGGGGAGTCAGGAGAGGTCTGCTGCGCCATGTGGGTTGCTCCCTGGCTAGCCAGGGATCGAACTCATGCTGCAGAGGCTGCGGACAGCTTTACAGATTGCATCTTAACCTTTGCACCACCAGGGAGGCCCAGCAGTCTGTCTTTCTGCATCAGTCTGCCCTGTAGTATGCATGTCCCATTTCATCATTGAGGGGACCCTGAAGGGAAGTGCTTGGTTCCTGACTCTAAATCCCCTTTACTCACTTCCCTTTTTTGTCCTTAGAGGAGAACAGCTCTCCTGCAGTATAACATTTAGTTTGTGAGAATGATCCCTCTCCTGAATTGAGTAAAGTGAGTACAAAGGGGGACAGGTCATGCAATGAAGGAATTTGCAATGAGTCATTTACATAAGAACTGTTTCCTCTAATCTGTGATCACTATGGTAGTTACTGTATGCATGATGAAGTCATGATTTTATAAATTAGGTTTTTTGGTATAAAATATCTTACTGTCTGGCTTTCTATGTTGATTTAAGACACTATGAAAAAATCAATAAAGTTTGCACACTTTTTAGGGAATTTTCATAAGGGAGATATTTTCTAAGTGTTACTGATCAGGCCTTCTAAGAGCACTTATCATCTGTAATATGAAAGAACTGGAGTTGTGGGAAAGTGCCCAGGCTTTGAAACCTTGGCTAGGCTCACCTCTGCCCTGTACTAATTACTGGGCCTAGGTTAGGTTATTTTCTTATCTTCCTAAGGCCTTAGTGACTTTATTTATAAATTGTGGATAATGATATCTACCTCTCAGGGTTATTGATTAAATGAGGTATCAAACATATAAATAATCTGGTGCCCTGTTTTCAGATATTGTTGTACATTTTGATTCAATAGAATAAGTTAGTCAGAAGCTAGTGATAGCAGTTGTAGCCATTAGTAAATACGAATTTCACATCTCAGCATGTGGATTGTAATGATTATGTTAAACTGGAAAGTGAAGAACTTAAGGGTGTTAAGCAATTAATAAATACATTTATTTTTTTCCTTTGGGAGGAGATGATATAAGTGAACACCTTTATTTACTAATATATTTAATTAAAGCAGACCACCAAGATACGTATTGTCTAACCTAAAAATGTTGACAGTGTTTGTCCTTCTGTAGAAAGTAACATATCAAAATTAATCTACCCCTACCTCTACAGTATTGTATTTGAATTCTCTGTTCTTTTAAAAAATATTTTAGGAGTCAATTCATGTTCCTGATCCTGTCATTTCAATAGCAATGAAGCCTTCTAACAAGGTAGGAGTTTGATTTATACACTCAGTATTTCAATAGACTGCAGCACTTTTTCATCTGTGTCCATAGGTTGCATGTTAACCCTTGTGATAATCAGCAGTCCTAAGGCTTCTGTTTCCTTTTTTGGTACTAGAATATTTTAATAGTATTCACAAGACTGCTTCTTCACTTCATTATTGACTCAGAATAGTGATCATAACCTCCTATATCAGATCTTGAAGAGAGAGAAAAGGAGAAATTGGGCACTTGTTCTAAATTACAGTGAAACATCACTATAAAGTCCATTAGAATACTGCATAGATTGTCTATGTATTATATAATAATACATTTCTTAATGTGTGGTAATTGTAAAGTAAATGTCTGATTATAATATGGAAAACCTGCAGAAAACACTTTTTCTCACTTTCAAATACAAGTTTTATGATTGGAGTCAATGTCATTTAACTTTTTACAAAGCCAGAATTCAATAGGCTTTGTTGCGCCTTGCTTGCCATTGAAGTTAGTCCTGACCTTAAACCATAATTGTTTAGTTCTTAAGGTGATGCTTGTAACAGTCACATTAATATGATAATTGAAACTAACTCATTCATGCATGGAGAGAACTTTTGATGACCCCTTCTCAACTGGGAACAATCATTTGCAAAACAATCTGATTTACTTCATCTGTTTGGGGGAAGTTGAGATTTTCCAGACCATTCTCAATATAGAAAATAGAATGTTGAAGTGGCAAGACACTAAATCATTCCATCTCAGAAATTTGAGGAAAGGGAAATCTTTTATCTTGCCACTGTCCGATGCCACAGATCATTCAAAGTGCTTTGCTAAATTGTTTGCTTTTCCCTTCAGAATTTTCAGGGCTAAACATTAAAGATGCTGCTTCATCCCTAAATCCAGAGTTTATGTAAGACATGTATAGTCTGCTGTTTCATTAAGACATGTGGCGGTGGGATGAAAATGGATTACTCAGTTCATGTCCAGAACAATGAGAAGCCTAGAGGGACTGCACCAAGAAAGTGCAGCCCAGCTCCAAGGGCAGTCTCATTTTTATTTAGAATCAGAAAATGAAAAGATCAAAGAAGCAAGCAAACGGGGAATGCACAAGTGTATCGGGGATGCGTAGCCAGATGCACCAGCCAAGGTTGAGAAGTAAGGAAGTCTCAGTGTTTATGCTACTCTAGCCATAACACCTATTGCTGTTTCTGCACATGCTGTTTTCAGCATATATAGACCCTCACGCCAGGACTTTTGCCCTGAGAGGTTCCCTATCTTAAACTTTCCCTGTTTCTGCACATGCTGTTTTCAGCATGTATGGATCCTCATACCAGGACTTTTGCCCTGAAAGTTTCCCTCTCAACTTTTCCTGTTTCTGCACACTGAGAGGCACAGAACAGTCAAAGCAAAGGATAATCAAGGCAAAGACACAGAATAGTGGAGGCACATAATAATACAAGCTCCCACAGTCTGCATAATACAATAATGAAGGAAAATCAAATGTATCAATATGGAAAGGTTTTTTTGTCTGGGTTGTTTGGAGTAAGTCAGATCATGAAGCTGTTAGTCTCAGAAGAGGGGCAGCAGTGACCTTTCTGTAAGTGAGCTACCTGGCTAGTGTAGGGAGAAAGTAAAACTTCAGGAACTGACTACCCAGACTCAGTGCCAACTTTGCTGTGGGGCCTTAACCTCTACGTGCCTGGTTTTCTTACATGTAAAATGTTGCTAGGTTTTTAGGGGTTTTTTTGGCATCATTGTTTTTAGAATTTGAAATATCTTTCAGAACACATAGAACAGGTCCAGGCACATGTGGTAACTGTTAATACTAGTGATTCAGGGCCTGTTAGTTTACTATTGCTGCCATAAGAAATTTCAATAGGTAAAGCACCTGAAGGGGGTAATTCTATACCTTTAAATCATATGCAGTTTTTTTATACTTTTTTTTTTTTAAAAAAGATTTATTTATGCATTCAAGAGCTGGGGTACAGGCCAGAGGTGTGGGGGGTGGGGAGGTGAGAGGATTCACCAGAGACAGAGTAGGGAACAGAACAGGCAGATTGACCGAAGTACACTGCTGAGGGGAGCAGCAGGTGAGGCAGGAGAGGTCTGCTGCACCATGTGGGTTGCTCCCTGGCCAGCCAGGGGATTGAACTCATGCCGCAGAGGCTGCAGAGAGCTTCATAGGTTGCGTCTTAACCCCTTGCGCCGCCAGGGAGGCCCCATATGCAGTTTTTTTTTTAATTAATTTATTTTTTTAAAGATTTATTTATGCATGCAAGAACTGGGGTACAGGCCAGAGGTGTGGATGGTGAGAGGATTCACCAGAGACAGAGTAAGGAACAGAACAGACATATTGACCGAAGTACACTGCTGAGGGGAGCAGCGGGAGAGTCATGTGGGAGAGGTCTGCTGTGCCATGTGGGTAGCTCCCTGGCCGTGCTGCTGTGGCTGCGGAGAGCTTCATAGGTTGCCTCTTAACCCCTTGTGCCACCAGGAAAGCCCCATATGCATTGTTATAAGCCAGTGTCACCTCAGTACAGTAAGACCACAATCTTGGTGGCTTAAAATAACACAAATGTATAATTTTACTTGATCAAGTCAGAGATCTAAATGGTCAAGATACTGAAAGGACTAGATTCCTTTCTGGAAGTTATAGGGATAGTTGGATTTCCTTGCCCAAATTGTTGACAGAAATCAGCTCTTTGTGGTTATAGAATTGGGATCCTCATTTCCTTGCTGACTCACCTGAAGGTTGTCCTCACTTCTAGAAACTGCCTTCTTCCTAGGCAGTTTGCTCCTGTCTTCTGCACTAGCAGCAGTGAAATGAGTCCCTCTCCTGCTTTAGCGCTCCCCTGCCTCCTTGGATCCCTTAGGTTCCTCCCCTTCGGTTCCCTACCCTTGTGTTCCTGCCCTCAGCCAGTGTTCCTCTACCCTCAGTGTTCCACTTCTATTTTTAAAGTCTCGTGTAATTACATTAGCTCCATCGAGATTATTCATGGCAATTTTCCCCATCTCAAAGTCTATCCTTAATCAACTCTGCAAAGCCCCTTTGTCATGTGAAGTAATAGCCTCAGATTTGGGAGGGTTAGGGCATATCCTCGGAGAACGATTATTCTGCTTGCTTCAGGTGGAATTACTTCTAAGGAGAATAATGATGCATCACACCACATCCCAGCAAATTGTTTTAAAGAGGAAGTCTCTGACATTTATCTTGCTGTTGGTCTTAACTGTGCTACTTGAATCTAGTAGAGTCTTGGTAGACATGTTGAGTCTTTTATCTGTGCCTATGTGTAGGATTTCTAAAATATAACAGTTTCTACTTTCTGCTTTATGAGCAGTTTACACGGAGTTTAGTATTAGACTCTTGTATTTTGGTATAGAAAGAAAATTCTATCAACTAGCTGTTCCCTGCTTTCTTGGCTGTGTTGTCTCCAGGCTCTTCTAAAAGGGTATCATTAATGAACCAGATGTGAATGATGATTATTTCTAAACTGCTAATTTTACTTATTTTATTCAGTAAAGTTCTTGAAACAATCCCATTTGTTATTATGCTTAGTAAAATGTGTAATAAATTTCTTCTTTTAAAGAATGACCTGGAAAAATTTTCAAAAGGTATTGGCAGGTTTACAAGAGAAGACCCTACATTTAAAGTCCACTTTGACACTGAGAGCAAAGAGACAATTGTATCTGGAATGGGAGAGTTACACTTGGAAATCTATGCTCAGGTAATGATCTATTTTGTGAAGAGTAAGTCAGTAATTCTCAATCTAATGACCATAAACTAATACTGCTTCAAACTTCACTGAGGTTTGTATCCACATGTAGACTAATAGACTGCTTCCTCTCCTGTGTTACAAATGAGCTGTTCTTAATCTCTACATCTTTTTATTTGTAAAGTGATACAGTGATCTAGAAATGTTGGCGACTCAGGATTTGCATCATTATTAGACAGCATACCCATGTCATGGTTAGTGTGATCAAGTAAATCCTGGTCCCAACCTTGTTAGGGAGACGGCAAGCAGGGAGAGACCTTAGAATGGCAGCCACCACTGCACAATTGGTAGGCATTTCTTCCTGTTTTCTTCTCTAGTCAGGTTTTTTTTTTTTTTTTTTTTTTTTTTTTTTAAGAGATTTATTTTATTCATGCATACAAGAACCGGGGTACAGGCCAGATGCGCGGGAGGGTGAGAGGATTCACCAGAGACATAGCGGGGAACAGAACAGGTAGACTGACTGAAATACACTGCTGAGGGGAGCAGCGGGCGTGACAGGAGAGGTCTGCCGTGCCATGTGGGATTCTCGCCGGCTGGCCGGCCAGGATCAAAACCGCACTGCAGAGGCTGTGGACAGCTTCACAGCGCTGCACTCAACCCCTGGGCTACCAGGGGAGGCCCTCTAGTCAGTTTCTTGAAGATCATCATAATGTAGATGAAAGAGAGGGAAGAAGGAACCTGTACTGACCCAGGAAAGGTCTGAATGAAACCGAAGATTTAAGATTACCAATTCTGGGTGAGCTTATCTTTGAGGTTGAGATAGTAGAAAATTCTGACAACAGATTCATATTATTCCAGTGTATGTGAAATAATATAGAACAAAGGTGAAGTTTCAGTGGATAGATTATTGGGAGCTAGGTATAAATTAATCATCTGCATTAGAATTCATTTGTATAAAGCCTGTAAAAGCATTTTGTATTAAGTATCATGTATCCTTATAAGATATTAAATGATTTAAGAAGTATTTGCTTATCTGTTATATGTAAATGAATGATTCTAAGGTATATAAGATGCTTAAGATTTTTCTTGTTAATTTAAATATATGAAAAAATTATCTCACCCACTCTTTTTAGAGGCTGGAAAGAGAATATGGCTGCCCTTGTATCACAGGAAAGCCAAAAGTTGCTTTCAGAGAGACCATTACTGCCCCTGTCCCGTAAGTATGCAATACAATTAAACATAAAGCTGGAATTGAAGTTTTTTATTATGGGATATACATAGCATTATTACCATTATTAAGACTGTTTTACATTGTGACACTTTATTATGGGATATGTATACGTTCTACAGTGTAATTAAGACATTTATACACAGTGACACTTTGGGATTTATTTGGCCCCTTAAGCTAGATATCAGTAAAGGCTGGCATACATATTATTAATAAACGTGTTTACACTCCATCCAGTGTTAGGGTCTTCTTCGTTTATTCCAGTTGTGCTTTCTTTGGCAGACGGCTGTTATGTTTTACTTTAGTACCATATTGTGGGTGCCAGAGAACTTGCATTTGCCAGGGAATAATCTCCTGCAAGTGAAGAAAACTAATGCTATGATACAATTCAGAAAACATTTAAGAGACTAGCGTTATCTTATAGCTTGTTAGTGACAAGGCGATCTTCATAAATTGCTGCAAGTATAATATACTTGAACCTGGTGCCTATTTGAACTTACATGAATTCAAATTTTTAGGCATACTCTGGCTATACAATACCTCAATTTTCAAAACTGCAGCAAATAAAGGTAAATATTTTACCTGAGATGCAATGTCATGAAGTAGAACAGTATAGTCTAACTCAATGAAGTCATCATTTCTTTGCTGTAACAAAAATTAAAGTAGTGTTCAAAACTTAGTAGTGTTGGCAAAAATGATATTTTCATTTGTAGACTATTATATTCCATTTAAGTAAAAATAAAAATTAAATGACTTAATTTATTTCTAAAAATTATAATTTTTCACTTATTACTCTGAAAAAGCATTTGCCCTTTGTGTTTTTATTTTCCAAGTTGTGGTAGCTACTTAAGAACATTATAGTCTATAGTTGTTGTTCATGATTCTTCAGTATTCCATTGTTCAGAAAAGCATGAATTTAGAGATAAACTACTAAAGTGAGTGTTTACACTTTAAAAAAGTTTTATAATAGAAATTTTTCTTCAAAAAAATTGAACATAGAAAATGTAATCATTGTTATCTGATTTTGTAATTAAAGAATTGACCTGCATCAGTTAATGCTTTGGGTATAAACAGTATTTATAGCATCAACTATAAAGAAATACTGCATCCACATAGTTTAAATCCTTAGTCATGGGCAATTTGCTGTGCTTTTCATAAGGTTCTGTGGATCTTTTAATCGATGTATTCAATTAATCGATGTATTCAAGCCAGCCCAAGATTCCAAGGGGCAGCGCAGGCTCCTGTGGCTTCTTTGGTTATAGTGTTTTATAAATATGGCTGCAGGGTCAGGTAACAGTCTGCATTCTCTTCTTAGGGCATCTTGATATAATCTTTAAGATAATTTTTCCAAGAAAAATTGGAACGGTTTCTTAAATGTTGGATCTTAATATGAATGTAATAAATGTGTGTGTCTATGTGTATAAATATATCTATAAAGGTATAGAATAGGTATAGACTGAAACTAGTTAAATTCTGCTGAGAATTTCATTAACACTTTAAAAAAACCACAATTTGATGGAGGGTTGGTTACGGAGTTTTCTTTCATAAAACTGTTGGCACATCTTAGGCATATTTTGCTGTTAAAAACAGGGCTTGAAAGTCATGATTATGACTGGAGAACCTTTGTCATCTGGGCTGGTTAATTATTTGAATCCCCATTACTCCTATAGGAATGTTGTGACCAAGGCTGATGTTTATAAAAATGCATTAGAAAAAAAACTTTCTTAAAATGTTGTAGTACTATTTGTGCAATAATATTGTGTTAGGTATTTGGCATCATACTAAGTACTATAACTGGGTATCCTGCCTTCCAGTGCTCATAGGTATTTAGCCTAGTGGTTACAAAAACCTGTGGAGTAAAGGTGCTCCAGCTGCTTTACAGTTTGTTACCAACAAGCTGAAACACGTCAACTGGAAAGTCCTTCTCTCTTTTGGAGCTGACTAAAATGTATCTTGTGGTGTCTGCACTCTTGGTTTTTTAAATTTCCACTTGATACTACTAGCTGACATTTTTTTCTTTTTAACCTTTTATAATACTAAAACTAAATTCAAAGATTTCTTTTTATCTCAAGTTTCAAAAGAGGTGGTTAGATATAGTCAATTCAGGCAAGAAAACACAAGTTAGCAACAAGATAGGAGATTGCAAATTATGACTAAATGGCTTATAAAAGAAAATTGTATACAACAAGCTGTACCAAGACTGAGATGCTAATATCTTGTATGGGATGATCTGTGCTGGGGGATGTCTCTAATTAGTGACAGCACCACCATTGCAGTAGAGGAAAAAAAGCAGAGGTAGTTTTAGTAGTGCATGACAGTAACAATATTTAGGTTCCCAAAGAAAATAATCCATATTATTTATTCACTCTCTTAAAACTGTACCTTCACCTCCTTTAGCACTGATTGTAACTTAAATGTTTTAAACATAAAATGACTAAGGAGGCATTAGTCATCCGGTTATGAATTGTAAGACTGTTAATAAATATTAGCCCCTTTAGAAGAGTATTTTATAAAAAGCACTTACCACTTGCTTGACAGTTTGAATTTTTGCCATTTTATACCATGTGTTTTCAGTAGAATTCTGCCATATGATATAACCACAGGCAACCCAGGCTAAGTGTCGAACTGGCTTCATTTCTGGAGCTATGTTTCCAAAACTGTCTGGTGGGGTAAAAACATTTGTATGATTATTTATACAGAGAGTATTAATCTTTAAGAAAATCTGAATTCTAAGTCATGACTTAATTTTCCTCAAATGTGTACAGAAAATAATTAAGCCATAGATCTATAAATTTCTGAGGCCTTTTTTTTGTTGGCGGATTAGTAATATTTAGCAATAGCTAATATATTTCCAGCATATTAACCATTTTGAGCATAGATAATTGATTTTGATCTAAAAATTGAGGGAAAAAACCATGCCATAATTATATACCTGGGATATTTTCTGCCTCTAGTGGTTCCTTCATGGACTTGAGTCTTTGATAAAATGTGTTATCTTCTTTATCTGGATTTTTTCCAATTTCACCTTCAAATGTGAAGTTAACTTCCGGTGCTGTATCTTGTCCTACTGGAGGGTAAAGTACTTCCGCTGTGCAATTCACTGTAACTTGCTGTTTGAAACATTTTGTAAAGATCTTTATCTGTAAATGGCTATCCATTACTAAGTTAATATTCTTCGATATATAACACTTAAAAGCATTGGCCCACTAATGGTGGTTGTTCAAACTTAGGAGTACCTGTTTCCAGAGATATCTAATTGGGCGTGGCCTAGTAATTTTCTTAGAGATTTCTGAAATAACTTATTAGGTCTTGTAAATTATCTTTAAACTCTGTATTTCAATATTAATGGAGGGTCCTTTTGCAAGCTGGATTTCATTCTGACACTTTATACCACCCAGACCTTGGTTACTCTTATTCTCTGCTCCTGAAGTAACAAAAATTTTCTCAGACCCATATACAGCAATCTATTTAGATATAAAATTAGAAATTGTGGCTTTGTAAAGATGACTGTCTGGCAGCTCAAATGCCTTTTGATGAATCTCCTTACATAGGCCTGTAGCGCTTCTGAATTATGCTCAATAAAGGGCAGGCTTTTTAAATTTCAAGATGGTTATGATGCAAATTGTAATTTCTTCCTTTTAAGCTAATCTCATTAATAATTTAGCAGGTGCACACTTAAAAAAATTTTCTCTGCCTCATTACCGAGAGATCCTTAACATAGCTATTGGTTGGTCATTCTAATCTAAATGCACTTGCTTTCTTTAAATAAATCAAAAACAATGGGAAAAGGCAGAAAAATGATGATGACTGAAGAGTAAGTTGTTCATCATAAGTACAGACTGCCCTGTGAGTATATAACATTTTTAAAGGGAATTTATTTGAACTGAAATAGTCTGTTTTCTTGATAGTTCAATAGAAGTACTTCATGTATCTCACAGCACACACAGAATAAAAACTGGTCCTTGTGTGATCAGTATTTTTTTGAGGCAGGATTTTCAAAACAACTTAAAAGAACAACAAAAGTAAATTAATCTATGATTTGATCAGCAAAGGTGATCTGGAATATTTAGAATCAAACTTTAATAATACAGGACATTTCACTTACTTTTTGGATAATTTCTTCCACGGAAAATTTAAGGCGATACTTGTGTCCTCTTCCTGGAATATCCTAAATTTAAAAAATGAGCTGTTAATAACAGTAACTCAAGTCTTTGCATTACTAGAAGAATCTATTTTCACTTGGTTTTTGGGGGGAGGCTGGCTTAATGGCTTAAATTTAAAGCCTTAGATATTGAAAAAGACAGATCAGCATGTACATATTATTAAATGCCCTCTAAGGTCATTTTGGATGAGAACAAAAGGGTGAATAAAACCATATATAAACAAAATGGGTTACAGCTCACTTTCAGTCAGCAGAGGACTTCAACATCTGGATCTGTGATCCTAAATTCTCTACATAAGAAATTTGGAAATAACTTTTAAATGGAAGATGACAATTAGGATTCAGCATTGAAAAGATTTTTCATAAAGCCCTGTGTACCCAGCAAATAATGTTTAATGAAGGTGAATTCCGCTTTAAGCAGATTACTACAGAGTGGTTAGAGACGTTGGTACTGTTTTTAGTTGTAACATAATGGACTAGCAAAGTGATACTTTTAACAAAACATATCTATTTCAATTTTGAATCAAAATACAATTGAGAGGTTATATGTAATTATGGTATTGGGTGCAGTTTTGAAATAATATCTACTCCCTCTCCCTTTCAGTTCTTAAAGACCGAGAGCAACTAAACGTGTGTGTCACATAAATAAGGATCAGTCTCAAATCCTTTAGATTTTAGTAAGTGGAAATTAATTTGTGATTGCTGAGACCTTAAAAACATTTCATTTAACCCTTTGAATGGTTCCGCAAGTCTCAATTGGGGAAAGGGAAATGCTGGTCCTCCTTTAGAACATTCTCCCATTTCCTGGTACTTACGCCTATAAAAGCTGTATGGCTGGCTCAGTCTTCGCTGAAAACAACAGCCCTGGACTGTGCCCAGAGGCTAGAATGTCGTCGGTCCCCATTAGTGCTGCCTCCCCCCAGTACCGCGCCCTTCCACCGACTCACCTCCAGGCTGGCCTGCTGCACGGTGTGCACCAAGAACACCTGATGGGGGGAGCCTTGCTGGTAGTTAATGCAGCTCTCTGCCACGGAGGCTGCCCGGGAGGCAGGGTAGTGAGTCGGCGGGATCTCCATGCTGGGCTAGGGTTGCGTGCCGGCTGGGCAGGACAGCTTTAGAGACGGTGCCAGGGCGTGCGCACCCGGGACGGTGCTTCTGTGCCGGTGTGGTCCGAATGGGAACCCGGCAGCGCCCAAGTGCCGGCGCGGTGCCGCCAGACCTTCTCCCTTTCCTTCCCTGTCTCCCCCCGCCCCTTCCCTCCAGGAAGCTGGCTTCCTCCGCCCCGCCCCGGACCGCCCACGCCGGGCTTGGGGAAGAGGGGCGGGACCTCACCCTTTCTACCTTTCCCCAAGCGCGGAAGGGGCACTTTCAGGTCTAGCCTTTGTGGAGGTTCCTGGGGCCACCGGTTTCTCTACACCAAGAGGGCCTGGTTGCCTTTTTTGCAGCCGGGAGCACCACTTTTTGCACCACCCCAGTGTCAAAAGCGGGCAAAGTGCAAAGTTGCTCCCTGGGTAAGCGGGGCCTTAACCCTTCCCACCACTTAGAGTCCGGGAACCGGCTTGCTTATCCCCAGCTTTCTGTTGGGATGGACTGGTTTTGCCCAAATCAGGACCTAAGGTTGCAGACTAGAGCATTGTTGGGAGGAATGTGTAATAGGGATCAGGGGGAATTTAAAATGCACCTGGGCTCCCTCTCTGCTCTCTTAGAAGGATGAAGTTTTGATATAATACCTTGCTTCCAACTTTGTGAGTTACTTTGAAAGTTATACCTTTTAAGAAATAAAACATAGTTTAAATCGGGTAGTATATTGATGTAGCTTCTAGCAAAGCAGGAGTTTTTAAAGCTGCTTAAGCAAGCCTAGACTGTTAGCAGGCAGTACTTTTTTTTCACTCTCCAGATTTAATTACCTGTGTCACTATTAGAGGAACTTTATGATATTCTTTGAATTTGCTCTATATCAGAATGCTAAGGTTCCTTTTCATCAGATAAAAGGCCAAATCTTCACTTTAGCTTGATGGCTTTGAAACAGAAAAGTTTTTTACTGTTTCTCAAAAATGGGTTTTTGAAAGTTCTTTGGGTAGATATGCTGTGTTGCTTAAAAAAGGTAAAACATTACTTGTGTTACCTTCCTCTGATGCCCTATTGATAGTGTTTATAAATAGTCTTCCTTGGAGTAAGTAGATCTAAGAAAATAGTCAGCAGTAGGGCATTTCCCTTCTCTACTATCTTTGTTAGCCAAAACAGTCACTAGGTTTTGAAAGGGTTACTTTTTTCCCCTCAATGCTTTTTCTAAAAAATTAAAGGTTGTTTTCTTTTGGGGAAGGTGAGTCATTCATCTGTGAGCCCAGCTCTCAGGTTGTCACTGTGTGTGTTAATTGTTTGAATTATGTGCTCATTTGATCATGTACAGCAAGGAGTGATTGAGTATATTCTAATGATACAGAAAGATCTTTTTGCTGACAATAGTTAACATCTCCTGTGCACTACAAGTCAGAATTGTAAGAATTATAATGTGAACTTCCCTGATAGTCACCATTTTGAAGCTCTGTGAATGCAATTACCAACTCTGTGGATCAAGGCCAGTAACATAGGCTGTGGTATCTGAAGGCATATACTGAAGGTACACAACTAACCTAGGTTCTTTTAAAAATAAAATTATTAGATTAAAATAATTTGACTTCCTATTTAAATATCAAGTAAATAAACTATATTAAGAGACTTATTCCTAAAAAAAAAAAGAGAGAGAGAGAGACATTCCTATATTTGAATCCTTGTGCTCTTACTAATTTTACTAAAGTATCGTGAATGGGTAGTCAAAAGTCTACTATCCTCATACTTGAATAATGCATGGGTAACCATAGGTAACAGTTATTCTGAGTCTTTGAAATCATGTAAATTGTATTATAATTTTGTATGAATGTGAACATAAAATTAAGTGTAGACACCTGTAGCTTGCAACTTTGGTAGTCAAAGTAAATCCACAAAAGAGAGAAACAAAACCACTACAGTTCTAATTAACATTAATTTTAATGAGAGACTTGATGCTTTGCCAAAACTAAATTGCCTTTTACAACATGCAATGGTCTGACCACAAAGACATGGGTTCTTTGATCTTCAGCATGTCTTTTAGTGGTCTGTCCAGTGGCATCATTTCTCTTTGAACTATTGTAAAATCTGCCTTTGTGCAGCGCCCTCTAACGATTTTTGAAGTGAATGCATCATTTGCTGCTTTAATCATCTTGTAGTCAGTCGTACTTGTTTTCTAGAAAAAATGATTAAGAGCTTTGGTCTTGGTGCATATTTTGGCTTTGGCATACTCTGTATCCTCTTTAGCTACTCTGACCTTCAGATTTCTCTGCTATAAAATGGTGATAAAAGTAGTACTTGTCTTTTGAGTTTGTGCTGAAGGACTCGTAAGACAATTCATAAAATGTACTTAACACAGGCCTGGCACATAAAGGTTCCTTACTTGGGACCGGCTTGATTTTAAATCCAGATGTGGTCTTTGAAGCTGTGTGGATCGCTCATGATGAGTTGGTCACTCAGGGCAGAGCTGTCCAAACAGAATTCTGTGAAGTGACAAACGTTCTGCAGCTGCTCTGTATAGTGTCACTCTCCACCTGTGATGTTGACCACTTGAATGTCACCAGTGTAACTTAGGAATTGAATTTTAACTTTGTTTCATTTTAATTAATGTAAATGTGAATAGCCATGGTTGGTGATGACATAGAAGACATTGACCTACAGTATGTTTGTATAAATGTTGTATTTTTGTCAAGTGGAACATAAAATTTAAGATATCTCAGAGAATTTGCGCATACCTGAGAATGTCAGTGGGCAACAGTTTTGAAATACCTTCAGGAAGTCTGCTTTCCCTCTCTCTTTCTGATAGCTAGGTTTTTTTTTTCTCCCTCCTAGGATAATTAACCTTTCAGCATTTTGGCTTTCCCAGCCCACCCTGAAGCTCTTGGCATTGAAAGATTATTTAAAGGCCACAGTTCATCAGGCACATTCACATGTAGGCGCTTTATGAAATCTGCTTATTCCAAGCCGGCATCTCCTATCAAAGTTGATAGTGACTTCTTCTAACTCATCACGGGCCCATATATGGAACACACACTCATTATTGGCCATGTTAGTGCAGTTATCTGAAGACAGTTTTGAAAACCTCTTACAGCTTAAAGGAAGAATTAACCTTGTATAAGGGTTACATGCTTAGGAAATACTTTTTTAAATGAGATAGCGGCCTACGTTTACATAAGCTTAATATGTATGTGGAGAGCTCATTCTAACCTATTTATGTTTCCATTGGTGGTTTGAAATAAACACTGACTTGTGTCTATATATACTTGAATGAATTGTGTCTCATAATTTCGTTATTAGTCACTTTCAGGTGTAATTATTCTACCTGATACTCCCTTTTCTTATTACTGTCAGTCTGTAATGTCCAAGTGGTAAAATCAAATAAGAACTATTTTCAGGTAACTGTCCTCAGTTGTAGGGATGTAAGAAGAGAATACTGTATCCCAGAGAAGGGAGGCACGCATTCCAAGAGTGGATAAGCTCTGTGGAATGTAGGATACAAGAATAAGAACCTTAGACTATTTTAAGCACTTGACTTAAACTTTTCTAGAAAAGTTGGCAGAATTAAAGGAAACTGGATTTCTGTGGTGGCGTCACCTCTCTCCTCTCCAAATAAGAGCAGAAAAAAAAAAGAGGATTCCTTTTTAAATAAATTCTACAACAGAATTTCATAGCAAGGCCATCATTTCAAAGAAAAAAATAAAAATGATGGAATTTGGTTTTTCATTTGAATTAGAAATTACTTCATTTTGGTAATTACATAATGCTGTGTTGATTTTTCCTCCCTCCTAAATCATTTTCAGGTTCGATTTTACACATAAAAAACAATCAGGTGGTGCAGGCCAGTTTGGAAAAGTGATAGGTGTACTGGAGCCGTTGGACCCAGAGAATTACACTAAGTTGGAGTTTTCAGATGAAACATTTGGATCAAATGTTCCAAAGCAGTTTGTGCCTGCTGTAGAAAAGGTAAAAAAAACCCACAACTTTGTTGCATTTTTTAAATTTAAAACAGTTGTTATGTGTCATTACTTTCCTGTCACATTGTTGTCCATGATTCATTTTAATCACAGTCTTGCTTTTTCTGATTGTTAAGTTTCCCATCTAATTTGGAATCTTCATTTCATTAAATCCAAGAGCTGTAAATATATGCTCTGACAATGATGAGGAGTCATTCTGTTACTTATTCATGTTTATTATATTTCTCTTGATAAACTGAAATTTTCATAGATAGTATTCACTAGTAAGGATTTCTGGATATCTTGGTGTCCTGTTGAGAATGATTCCCAATACCCGGGAGCTGCCCCAGTCTCTTATTGGTGTCCATGTTCTTTGTGAATCACTGTGTTCAGAGCCAGTTTCTTTACTTGTAAACTAGAGTGAACTACTTAAATCTGAATGCTTCGTAAAATTGAGGGTCACAGTAGAATTTTGTGACATTTCTTTGGGAATTCGGAAGTTCTTTGCAAATATAAGGGGTTAATGTTTTGTTTGTTTTTTAGATTACTTGCTTTAAGGCTTGTGAATCTTTAGCAACTGTCTACCTTTAGAGATTGAGATTTTTAGTCATTTTTTAACCTTTTAGCTTAGAAATCTTATTAACACATAATTTTGGTTTCACTATTGGGAACATTTTTTGGTGGTTAGTTAATCTGTCTTTCATTGCACTTTTATTTTAAGACAGTATTTTGTTATTCACACACTTTTGAATAATTTTTTGTTCTGTAAAACTAGTGTAGGTGGAGAGCTTAGATATTTTTCAATATACAGAGTTTGCAGTTTTGAAATGTCAGAATTAGATTGTACTATATGTGCAGCCATGTGATTGTCTTGCCCAGAAAAACTAAATTGAATTGTAGGAGCTCTACAAATACTGTATAAGTGACTGAATGAAAAAGAACTGCAGGCTTATCAGATTGTGTTCTTTAAGTGAGTATGGTTTTTGTATATCAGTTTAGATTTTTTATATCAGTTAAACCTCAGTGAAGGTGATTTTTGCTTTTTAAAAAATTGCATTTGGAAAAGATGAAATTTACCTTTTAATTCTAATTCTTGCTTATATCATGTAATACTAAAGCTGTAATGTTGTGATCTGCTGCTGAAGTAGACACGGCTGTGATAGGTATGTTGTAGACACTCAAGATACAACTGCTGAATAAGTGTCTGTTTTAATGGAGGTTTTTTTTTTTTTTAGGGAATTCCTTAGACATGCCTTCCTGTATTCCTCTTTGTAAATGAGTATCATGCTGTCTCTGTAATGGGTTATGAGAGCTGGTAATTCCTGAAGATGAGATTGTGAGTGTTAGCACTCACAGCGTCACTTTTCATCCTGCTCAGACCTTTAAATGATGTGCTTTTGTCAAGGGATGTTCACCCAGATGCCACATAAGAAAACTTAAATAGCAAAGCTGTTTAATTAAAACTTTGTTTTTGAGGAGTGAAGTATAGCATCCATAAAAATACTGAATTTAGGAATACTGATATGTTTGGGGGTTCTAGGGAATTCATCAGTATGTGAAATCTGCCCACTCCAGAAGTTGTGTTTATTCATTAACAGGGGTTTTTGGATGCCTGTGAGAAGGGCCCTCTCTCTGGTCACAAACTCTCTGGAGTTCGGTTTATCCTACAAGATGGAGCGCATCACATGGTTGATTCCAATGAAATCTCTTTCATCCGAGCAGGAGAAGGTGCTCTTAAACAAGGTGAGCTGGGTCTGTCCCCCTGGCAGACCACAGGACCTTGGGACAGCGTTGTATGTGCTCTGCCTAGAGAGCACTGGGCAGCACACCAGGCACAGCTTCTCGTTCAAACACTAGAGAGCAGAAACAGACATAGATTATTGTGTTCTCTTTTGAAGAATTAGAAACCTACCTTCTTCCAAATTGTCTGCTTATTTTTCATCTTTAAATTCATAAATAATCCATACATAGAGAAGACAGAAATGCTCAGAATTCTAAAAATATTTTTTAAAAAATTCAGACTATTTTTAGTGACTTACTCAGATGTCAGGAGATCCTTAAAATCATCAATAATTTTTTCATTTGTGTTATAGGCTTGTTTAGGCATCTTGATGATGACAAAATGTTTTGAAAGAATTCACAAACCTTATTCAGTTTAGATTTCTTGTTAAATGGCTAAAACTGTCCATTTTAGTATTTTTTTTAAATACACAAAGCATGTGTATTTAAAGACTGATGAACCAGAATAGTCATAACATATCATTTCATAAGCATCCTATAAATCAGGATTGTATTGATTCTGTATGAATTTTAGACTTTATGCTGTTTTGGTCTATATCTATGACCAGATGTAGGACGATGGTTGGAGAAGGTTGCTTCTTTTTTGCTCAGGTTGCTGATTTCCTATCTTACTTAAACTAATGGAAGCCATTAATAATTTGTGTTTCATTCTGTCGACTGTGAAAGGGAGACTCCCTTATTTTCTGTATGCCTGCTCTCTATTAAAAATGCAGTTGAAATCTGTGATATAGAAATTCTGTCATAATCTGAAGATTGTTTTAATAGGAAAAGGAGAGATAAAGTCATGTAAATAAGTTTTTACTAGGCATGATTTAGATTAAAACACCTACTGCTTGCCTCTTAAGTATTTATTTATTACAATAAATTTTAAATTGACAATTTAGTTGTAACCACTTTATGGACTTTTCCCAGCTTTAATGATGTATAATTTGCAAAATTGTGAGACTTGTAACTAGTGATGGTTTGAGATATATGGTGATACAAATTAAAAAAATCACTTATCCTATGCTGGTTCTTGACTAGAAATTGGTAATTTTCCTGAAGATAGAGGTTACATACAGGCAGATACTGAATAGATTATAATGTAACAAAGATCTTCTTCCTTTTTACAGGCAAAAGATTTATATAGTCTGAAGAGAAACCAGAGTATGAGATCCATATCTTTGTAATCATTCCTGTGTGAAATTTAAATAAATTAGATGAGCACATATTTGCCAGAGAACTAGACTTCAGCCATTTCCTCACAATCTCTCTGCCATCTGGCCTGATGTTATCAACATCATTCCTAGTGGGCTGAATAGAAACATTAGTACCTATTTCTACATTAGGCTTAAAAGGGCCTATTTTTACCTTCTACTTTTAGAAGCTACAAACCACATGAATCTGCTTGGGGAAAAATTGCTTTTGGGATTTGACTGTCCTGTGACTGCTGAAAGAGCCCCGAATGCAGTCTCTCACATGGAGTAGAGGTAGACAAAGGCATGAATAAGGCCAGATTCCATGGAAGTGAGTCAGGAAGTAGATATAGGAAGAAAGAGGGAGTTGAAAGGCAGGAGCAGGGTGAGTCGGTATGAAACTGAGACCTGGACAGGCTTGTCCTCAACACTGAAGTGATGAACTATTCCTTCCTTTTCATATAGGCTCCTTTCACTATCTAGCTGCTTGTCATTGACCTACTAAAAACATTAGTTTTTAAGTAAATCTTAATATACCTGCTCACATCTCTTTTCTTGAGTGTCTTCCATATTCACTGACATTTGTTTAAATGCAAGGAAGACTTTAGGTAACCCAAGAAGTTGTATGAAACAACTATTTCTACAGTCCAGAATTGTTAGACTGTAGTTTCAATGTCTGTCTTAGCCATTGAAGCTAAGGTATTGTCATTGTTCAGCCTAGAAAAGGAAAGACAGTTCTCATGTGTGACTTGGTTATTGCCTCTTAATATATGAAGAGTGCCCTCAGCTCCACTCCTGCCCATGAACAGTTAAATGTCATAGTTAAAATTGTCTGCTGGGGACCAACAAGAAATAGGTTTGCCTTTGGTCAGAAACTTTACAGGTAGTGTCTTTACTCCTGAAGTTTTTCAGAAAGAATAAGTAACCTTCAACTGGTTGTTTAGATAGAAAAAGACTTGTTGAGTGATGTTTTATTCTCTGCAGTTTAATGATTTTTCAGATTAAAAACATAATGGAAATACTAGAAGTAAGTGTCTTTTAGAGATTTTCTATTTAGGAGAGGAATTGTTCTTCTACTAGGAAAATGAGCCCAGATCAAAGATTTATTTAAAGATTTATTTATTTATACATACAAGAACTGGGGTACAGGCCAGAGGTGTGGGGGGTGAGAGTATTCACCAGCGACAGAGTGGGGAACAGAACAGGCGGATTGACTGAAGTACATTGCTGAGGGGAGCAGCGGGTGAGTCAGGAGAGGTCTGCTGTGCCATGTGGGATGCTCTCAGGCCAGCCGGGGATCAAACTCGTGCTGCAGTGGCTGTAAATAGCTTCATAGGTTGCGTCTCAACCCCTTGTGCCACCAGGGAGGCTCCCAGATCATATATTTTAACCTCTTTATTTCTCTTTGTACCTGTGGGAGAGCACCATGTCGCTCTCTTTTGTATATCTTTATAGAAGAGAATTCCAGTTTATTTAAAACATAATTTTTTTTTTTTTAATTCAGCCTTGGCAGATGCAACATTATGTGTTCTTGAACCTATTATGTCTGTGGAAGTTATAGCCCCAAATGAATTTCAAGGAGCAGTGATTGCGGGAATTAATCGGCGCCATGGGGTAATCACGGGACAAGATGGAATTGAGGACTATTTCACATTGTATGCAGATGTAAGTACAAGTGGTCACTCTCTTGTTTTTAATCACCCATAGGAGGAATCAGATTTGACTTACATATGCACGGTAATTTCTATATAATTTGTTGTAGAGCAACTCTTGAGTGTAAAAGCTAAAAATAAGATTCATGTAGACCTTTTGTGAATGTCATTTTTTTACATGTTATAGTTTTCTTTCTCAGTATAACTTTGCTTGCATAACTACTTTCTTGTGTTATCTCTAATTTATTTTGGGATATTTTGTTCTCTGCTAGTACTTTATTTGATTTAAATCTCAGTGGAGAAAGTGTTTATCACATTACATAAGGATCTTAGAAGACACTGCTACTCTTAGTATATCATTGAGGTGTCTATAGGAAAGTTGTATTAACATTTTCACAGAAGTACTTCTAAATACTTGTGCTTTGACCCAAGAGTGGAATGGGGTGAGGAGGGAGGCTGCCAATGGTATCTTCTCGATGAAACTGGAAGATTTGGTTTCTAGTTATGACTCAGATAACTCAGGGTTTCTACTTGGAGTAAAAGCAAAAATATGTTTCTCTTTGGCTTTTAATTATTTTAAACCAAGAATAGTTAGTAGAAACCTAAATTTAAAGGAATTAAATAACTAGGGCTTTTGTATTTTTCAATAAGCACTGATAAAGTATTTTGTTTTTTATTTTGAGAATCTGTAATTTTATTGTTTTTATTTTTAGGTCCCGCTAAATGATATGTTTGGCTATTCCACTGAACTAAGATCATGCACAGAGGTAAGAAAGTATTTAAGCCTTAATTCAGTGCTTTTCAAGAGACCACCCTACTAAATGATTAAATTTGTGAAATCTTGTTTTGCATGACTTTACTTGATAATTGTTAAAAAATCAACTCAAAGACTCTGCCCTTTTTTGTTTTAAACTCCTAGGGAAAGGGAGAATACACAATGGAGTATTGCAGATATCAGCCATGTTCACCATCCACACAAGAAGACCTCATTAATAAATACTTGGAATCTACGGGTCAACTTCCGGTAAAAAAGGGAAAAGCCAAGAACTAATTTTCCTCACTTTAAGTTAACCGACTTAAACTGAATCTGCAAGGTTTAGATCCTTTAATAGATTCCAGTGGAATGAATTCAGACTGAAATGAGAAAATTTAGAAGCTCTTCCTGTTATTTTGAGGAGCTTTTACTATATCTGGTGTATGTCTCTCTCTCTCTCTCTATATATATATATATAGATATATATATAGATATATATATATATCTCCATTGATTTGTTTTTATAATTCAATGAAGAATCTCAAAATACTACTAAAATATATTTAATATTTAAGGGGGAAAGAGACTAATTTCAATTAAACCTCTAAGTTTAAAACTTGTGTAAAAACTTCCAGATTTACCATAAGAATTTTCAACAGAAGAGCTGAAAAAAATACAAAGAACCACCATATAACTTCCACCTAGACTCCGTAGTGAACAATTTTGTTGACAATTTGTTAGATATTAATTTTGTCTTATTGTCCATCTCTGTCTTGTATTTGTATATTTTTAATTTTTTAAAAAATTATTGTTTTGCTGAACATTTGAGTGAATTGCTTATATCCCAAAACTTCTTGGAGTGTTATCTCTTAATGGAAAGGCATTTTTTTGTGATTGGGTTACATGTGATTTTAAGAGTGGGTGTTTTTCAGATTCTTCACTGTAATATATTAAAAGGCTAACTAAATTTCTGGCTTTTTATATATAACTGATTGCATCAAATTGTGGCTTCTGCAAACTTCTTGTTTCTTGCTCTTAGGAATACTCCTGAGAGTATAAAATGTTACTTTCTTATAGACCTATGGAGTGAAAAATGAACCAATTGGGTATGCTATTCTTGTCTGTTCATCTAATGTTTCTGCAGCTTTGAGTAATAAAATATTATTTGCAGAATGGCTGCCAAGTTGATTTCATTTTCCTAGTAAATTCTGGTTCAATTCAAGTCTGTTGGAATTTATCACATGTTCATTGAGATTGTGAAAGAAATGTTAAGCTTTGATTTCTATAATAAGTTGGACTTTCCCAGGCAATTCTACCATATTGTTCAGAATTGCTTGATCCAAAAATCATTACTTAATGTGATACGAACAGATTAGGGATCACAGAAATTTAGTTTGTTATTATAATGCTTTTGACACTGTTTTTGATGATTAGGAAATTTCAATTAGAAGAACTCATTTGGTTTTGGAGTAACTTAATGTAGTGGATCTGTATTTTAGCAGAAGTATTACCTCATAGGTGGAGTATCTGATGAGTTTCCTCTAAATGGTTGTTTTTAGGTACTTAAGAATACTTAAGCTCTCTAAATCAAGTAATGTGGGGATGACGCATGCAAAGGGCTAGGGTTCTAAATAGAAACATAAACTTGATCTACTAAAAAAAGTTAATAGTTTCATCCATCTTTTTATTTTGTAAGAGTTCATATCTGTTAAAACATTTACAATCTGGTATTTGTAAACTTAAAAAGTAATATTTGAGTATACATTGACTGATTCTTCCAGACCAAGTACTTTAATAACGAACCTGGCTAAAGGTTTTTAAACACAAATATAAGTGATCCCATTAAATGATGCTAATTTTGAGAGGCAGTTGATGACCATATTTACTAGGGCAATTCTTAGGGAGGTACTTCTCTGAGTCTCATGGTACATAGTGTATTTGCTTTTATAAATGCCTTCAATCAATACTGGGTCCGAGTGTTTGTCTTGGACCCAAATGAAATTTGTAAATATTTGATACTCTCAATTACATGATTGTTTCATTTAATACATGTTTGTGGACAAGACTTTAGATAAGTAATGCATTGTATATTTTTATTTGTAAAATTTGAATTAAGCAACATTAAGACTTTAGATAAGTAATGCATTGTATATTTTTATTTGTAAAATTTGAATTAAGCAACATTAAGAGTTCATCTCATTCCAGCTTAAAACAAATTTTGCCTATGAAATCTCTACAAACTCATGTAACACATTTATTTGGAAAAGCAAACATTTACTTAAAAGTAGCTATCAAGTTGAAAAGGAATGTTTGCTGGAAATCATAAGAGTAAAATTCTTTTTAAAATGTATTTTTCTAACGATTTTCCTACAATTTGCTGTTTTGACATATATTATCTTTTTTACATACTAGGCAGAAGCAATTTAGTAACAAAATAATTGGCTGCAATATGTTCATAATAATGAGAAATGAAGACTTAGAGGTGAGACTGTCAATTTTTGCTTTGTTTTAAATACTGATCCTGCTGCAGCAGATACTAAGTGACTGGGCTTTCCATGTTAGGACTGATAACACTAGGAACTTGGGGATGACTAAAGAGCACCAAGCAGAGTTCAGTATGCAGGTGCTCCCAGAGACTGAACCAATCCAATCAAAAAACAAAACCCCAGCCTTCATAGTATGTACTTATAATCATACATTTTCCCAATTATTAGAATGTCCTATATTATTACTGTTTCACTAGATGATTTAGGTTATTTACTAGTATAGTCATTTTGTTTAGAATTTGGTATAAAGAGATCTCTTTTCAGAGAATATTAAGATCAGTCTGAACCATAGCTGATCCTTCTTCAGTTCCAGAAGATTCTTCTGGTGCCTGTAGCGCTTGACAGTGGTACTTCACTTTCAGTGGTTTGCCCGGGTACCAGACCAAGTGAATCCGACAGGGAATTATTTCCTAGAAATAAGAGTTCAAAATATTATAACCTGCAAAAATTTCTGGTAAGAACAGCTCTATATATCACTTTATATTTTACCTGTGTTGAGAATTCATGGAGTAAAACAGTATAATCAAAATCAATCGCATTATTGTTGGTGCTCTAGAGGAAGAAAAAAAGAAGAGTTAGTGTGATAATCGAGGAGGTTTTTTAAGCTCAGAATTTGGAACCTTTATATGCATTCATGTTTGGGATCAGTGCCTTGATTTTCCTGCCACTCCCTGCCTCATTTCTTTTGGAAATATCCTGCATCAAGATGAATCCGCCTGTCATGAATTATTGTTCTGTCATTGAGTTATATGAAAATTTAGGTGAATGTCGATCACTTTTTCTCTCTCATATGTACAGGTTGTGATTGGGGCTAAGGTCTGGTGAAGGGAGAATGTTTTAACAACCACAGGACTCTAGATACTATGTCTGCACCTCCAGCTGATAACGATGTGCGGCCAAGACAAGGACATATCAGCTACTATTTCTAGAATACCTACCAAGGGCCCAGACCTGTGCCTTGGCACTTTGTTCTCATGTAATTCTGACTATCGCACAAGGGTTTGTATTAGGATTTTACAGGGAAGTAATGACGTTACACAGTAAGTCACAACTGGAAGATTCAAACCTAGATCTACTGACTGTAACACTCAACATTCTTCATGCTAACCCCACTGCTTCTAGAAACCAGCATGTTGGTAGTGCAGAAAGGCAGTCTTCTGCATTTCTTTATTCTCTTCAATACTGTAAGTTTTACTGGCAACTAAATTAATTTCCTCTTTCTTTTTGACACTTCCTGGGTTTTTGTTTGGTTTGGTTTTGAGCAAAGGTGTTTATCCTTTTACTAATAAAAATGGAAGAGATGAAATAAAAAAACCAAACTCTACCAGGTTTTTTATTGAGACTGTTAAAGATCATGAAAAAGCAAACAGAAAGGACTTGACATTAGGTTTATGACTTCCCATTGCTTATATTGATGGAGATATTTGCAAGCCTTGCAATTCCAGCAGGTAGGGAAGGTGCTGAAAGAAGATATAAAACAGGGCCTGAGTGAGTGAGAAATTGACTGTTTTCCTATGTTTTTCCCCCTCCATCACTGTGTAGCTCTCTTCTGCCTAAATTGTGCCAGTGAATGTTCTAACATATATCCAAGGCACAAGCTGCAATGTCAGAATTCATGAGATTAAATTCAGTTAGAACAGTCTCTGGACACTCTAGAAATCAGTCTGTTGTTTGTTTTTGGGTTTGGGTGGGAGGTAGGTGTATTTAGCCTTGTTCAACCCACATTTTGTGCCTGTCTTGACCTTGAAGGAAATGGTCATCCCAGAATATTCTATCCTGCTGGCTATGGGGCTGTATGGTTTTTGTCTCAGGCTATTGTGCAGCTTGCAGTGTTTCTCAAGGCCTGTTTACCATTTTTCTATAATTAAAAAATTGATTTTACTTATAAACTCAGTGTTTTTTCAGGACAGTGCCCTTCTCTGCTTTTGAAAATAGCATTTCTGAAGGAAATCATGGCACATTCTAGATTTCAGGCCAAAAAAAAAAGAGGAACTTGAAACTCCAACTCCATTTGACAAACTATTCTTCTAAATACAGTGTCACCCTTTTTTTTTTTTTTTCAGTACAAAAATTTGGATCCTTACACGGCATGGGATCCTTGTACCATTTAACAAGACCTTCCTCAAAGAAGTTACTGAAATAAACCCTTACATTTCTGTTTTTATAACTTCTTCATTCTAGAAGTACCCTTGAGCCAAAATTAGGACTCCTTATAGAAACACAGAAGAGGGACTGCACAGACCAGCTTGGCAAAGGAACCAGGGTTGGTGGCCCTCACCCAGTCAAGATCTGCCAAGAAGCCATTAATTTTAATATTATTCAGAAATAATCTCCTTGGCTTCCATTCAAAACATCACAATGCCAAATGCTTATAGTCCAAATTGATGATATACTATTCCAATTCCTGGTAACTCAGCACTTTAGTCTTCTGTGAGACAGACTGGAAGAGTTTTGCTTGTTCCCTTTTACTTACTCGTGATTCACTCTACCCTCCACCAGTCCCTTCCCTCCACGCTGCACCCCGCCCCGTGCGCCGCCCCCTCCCCACCCCCACCCCCCCCCCCCCCCGGAAAAAAAGGATGATCCTTGCAGAACTAGTGTCATCTTACTAGAGAGAGACAGGCTCAGGTTAGTAATACACTCTATCAAAAGTAGACTTCTCAGCTAAATAACTAAGGTAAATAATGCACCCTTGTCCAGCACACACCTCTGGTTAGGGTAAGGACTTGTACTGTAGGTTAGATAGTGTGGGCTGCTGATTGACGAGTTGGAACAATGCTCCCTTTTCTCAGCACATAATAAAGGCTGGGGCTATAGGGAAAGTATTTGTCCTTTGATTTTCTAGCTGCAAATATCTCCTCTACCCTTGGCATAGTCCCAGTGGTACTGGGATTGACATCCCTTCTTCAGTTCTAAAGCAGCAATTGTGCTGGTAACGTGGTCTTACTTCTATTTGTATTTCAGTCCTTTCTTAGCCCATTTGTCTCTCAGCCTTGTTCATCTGGGGCTGTAAGTTTATATGTAAACCTGCACCTCCTTCACCAATAACTTCTGGGTGAGAAATTCTCACCAGAATACTCTGGAAACACTATGACCCCTCTTGCTGCTGAGTTTCCTTTGTCACTGCCTGCTTTGTGCCATCCTGGCTTCATTAAACCTCCATTCTGCATCTAGTATCCTAGGACAGTCCTTGGACCTGTGGAGCCTAGTGACTTTTCAAACATTGTTGCTTGTTTTGCTAGTTGCTTGTGTGGTTCTTTTGCTAAAAAATCCCAGGAATCCTTCATGGCCACGAATAGCAGAATTTGTGAATCTCTGTGGAAATATGTATCAACCTTGAAACCAAAGTTCCCAGTTGTTTCATTAAGATTTATGTTCATTTCAAGGGCTTCTATAAATCTGTTGATCCTCAATAAATAAACCCTGAGAAAGGGAGTGATCTTCTGTGACTGAGCTAGCAGTGTAGAAACACATTCTATTAATATTTTTCTAAAACCCAAGCTCCCCCAAGGTAAAAATGTTTTAAAACATAACTGCAGTTTTGCCCTCTGCACATTTGCTTTTCTAACTCTACAATGACATTTGTCCCTACTGCCCCTCTTGCAGGCTGGTTGAGGGGTGTTAATGGACAAATGACAACATGAGAGGCTGGCTAGAACCATGGTGTGTCTGGGTGGTCAGTGTGGGAATAATGTGTTATGTGTAACTGCAAAAGGAGAACACACACTTTAAAGCAATCCTATGTTTTCCCTGCATTGTATTTCTGTTGCGTTTTCCTCTCACATTCATCACAATTAGTGTATCTTGGCACCATTTTCTACACTATAAAAATTTTTCTCCCCTGACTTTTTAGTTAAAAGTAAAAGCAAGTTGTTGGTGATAGGATCATCTTGTAGATCGGGGTGGGGAGGGGAGTTGGGAGAGAAAAAAGGAGAAGGAGAAAGAATAAGGAAAAGTGGGAGAGGGAGGAAGAGGTGGGGGTGAGAAATTATAGCTCAGTAGGAACTAGAACTGTGTCCCAGCTCATAAAGCAATAGTTATTTGAATAGTAGTCTCTTCAGAAAAGCACAATGTCAGGAGGAGAGACTATGTTCATTTTGTTACAGAAAAAAAGCTGTTTCTAGCTGCCTATTCTGCACGAGGGTTTGAAGGTACACTGAGCTCTTCCTGGCATTCACACTGCTAATGGCATTCGGGCAGCTCCCCCGCCAGTAGATGTTCACCCGGGGACCTGGTCGGCCATGGGTTCATTCCACCTCACCCCCTTGCAGACAGCAGTCTTTGAAAGGTCTTAGCACTCTAGCTGGTTCTGCTGCCTCATCAGCAAAGCTGGTTTTCTTTCTACGTCACATTTTTGACCATATCCCAGTCCTGGCTAAACTCTCCTCTCCACCTTCCCTGTGCCCACACCAGCCAGCAACTGGGGTGACTGGTCCCCCCAAGGGCCAGCAGGACTGCGTGCTGTTACCATGTCCTCTCTACATTCCTCCTCCCTCATTCTCTTTTCTTGACCGATGACTTTGCCTTGGTTTCACTGAGACAGGCGAGTAGATCATCCAGAGGCTGGTGCCCTGGCATCCGCCCTGCTGCACCTGTGCCCCTCTCTTGCCTTCCCTGAGTGACTCTCCCAGGTTATCTCTGGTTGACTTTCCTGTCCCAGGTTATCTCTTGGGTGACTTCAGCCTCTCACCTGCTCAAAGATACTCCAACAATTCTTCCTTCTCTCCCCCAAAGTCTTACTGTGCCCTCTCTACTGGATTTTTCTTACCGACATAAGAGTATGTTGCTAAATCTCCCAACCTAAAAATGTAACAGAAAACAACTTCTTTCAGTCCTCTGCTACCCGTGCTCTAGCCACAGCCCTCTCCCTTATTCTTCCTCCCCTTTTAGCTAAGTTATTGAAAGCAATTTAGTGTCACTTCCTGTCTGCACTCTCCTGAACCCAGTTCCAGACAGGCTTATCCACACTGTGCTGTGAGGTCGCTTCTGACAAGCTCTCTACTGAGAAAGCACCACTCCCACTGTCAAATCCAGGGGTCGATTCTCAGTTCTCATCTACCAGACTTCCAGCAGCATGTAGTACAGTCAATCCTCATCCTTCCAAGTCTTTCTTGTCTAGGTTCTCCAGCTTTCAGAGTTAGAAGTGTGCCAGCACTCGAGCCTTGCATTACTGCGTGTCGCTGTCTACTCTCGTTCTCTCTGGTTTCATTCAGTCTGTGGCTTTACCTGACTGTCTCAGCCCTCTCCCTGAACTTCAGTCACGTATGTCCAAATGACTATACAATTCTCTGCTGGTTACAGAATTTAGTATATCCCAAATCAGGCTAACTCTGCCCCCACCCCCTACCCAAATCTGTTCCTTTATTTTTTCCCAGTCAGTACATGAAAACTGTTCTTTCCACTACTCAGCCAAAGTCCAAACAGCCAGTCTTGACTTTTCCTTTCTCTGAATGCATGTCCATCTCCTCAGCAAGTATTTGTCAGATGACATCCCAGCTTCAAGCTCTGGCACTACTTCCAGATGACATCCCAGTTTCAAGCTCTGGCACTACTACACTCTGCACCCGGCGCAAGCTCCCACGAGCCCCTGCCTCGACCATACTTCACAGGAAGGCCATACTTCAACTGGTCTCCCTGCCTCTATGGTCTGTTCTCCACATAGGGCCAGAAGGATCTACTATAAGACAGATCTTATCACTCCTCTGCAAAAACTCTTATGTGTAAAAGAAAAGTTCTATGGGCCTCTAAGGCCTTCTATGGAGGGAGCCTTCCTCTTCCCACCAACTGCCCCATACTTTTCCAGTCATACCATCTTACTGCTAGTTCTCCATCTACCACATTGTTGCCTCAGTGCTCCGGGAATTCTCTTCCCTCTTGGAAGTCTGCCTACTGTCACTCCCCTGACCCCTCTATTAAATTAGAAGGCCTGACTTTGGCTGTGTAAGTAATTTAATACCCTGCATTCCCTACTCTTCCTGTCTAGCACTGGCTAACATTCGATACACATCTACTTGTTCATTTGCTTACTGACTTTCTCGTCTCTCACTAAGATGAATCTCACTGAGGGCAGCAATGCTGTGTTTTTGCTCTCTGCTCTGTCCTCAGTCTCTATACCTGGTCCATTTCAGGAACTCAACATTTTGATCAAGGAAATTGAAATGCCATAAAATTAAAAATTCAAGTTAAGTTAGCTTTAAAAACCGTTATCAGTTGTGTCCCTGGCAGCACAAGTTATTTCCAGCTCGCTTACCCACTGCTTCACCCTGCTGATCTGCGCCATGGAGTAGTATGAAAGCTGCGTTGTCTTGTCCCACATCACATAAGAACTGCCAAGAAAAGCCAGATCCCAGATGGGTCTCAGATTAGGGTCAATGTATCCATGACTATCTGAGAGGGAGAGAAAAGCACATTTGTATTAAGCATCTTGGGGACACAATTTCAGGAGGTGTAAGCTCACAGCAAGACCTTCCACTGACTGGTGATTTGTTCATAGCTGTTTCTACATTATGTGGAGATTTACATGCTTCCTCTGGCCCGGCTCAGGGAAGAGGATGTCAATTTAAGGTTTGTTGTGCTCTATAAATGCAAAGTGAGAGCTACAATGGCACTCAAAGTCCACCTAAAGTTGAGTAGCATTTTTAATTAGACTGGAAGTCTGTCATTTACCTGCTCCACACTAGCTTCTGTTTGGGACTACAGTCCATGTGATGGTGTTTGCCAGTCTGCAAAATAGCTTTGTCCTCCTGATCATTGGCTTTAAAGGTAGTGTATTGGCAGCATCTGTTTTTTGACACATGAAATCAGGTGGGTTTTTCCTATGGCCTTGTTTTTGGAACCGTACACTTTTTAATTTGGCAAGCATTTAATAAAATAAAGATATTCTTAGTATCAAACACTGCTAGAGGGAGGGATACAATAAATTATTATCTCTTGTGACTTCTAGGAACTTGAGTATTAACAATTTATGAGATAACTGGACCCTTGTAGGGAAGTTGGTAATGTTTTTCTTAGTCTATAGTAAGGCCCAATAATAGTATAATACCCAAGGAATACTGCTAAGCTATTAAAAGATAAATCGTAAAATAATCATTAGCATATATTTCTTTCTGTATTGGTAGAACTTGACTTGGCTGGTTTATAATGATAGTCAATTTAGAAAGCATTCTTTGATAGTGTGGGCCACTGAAGGACACACAGATAGGGCCTGCCCTGCACTTCTTCCACCTGACAGTGTCGAAACAAAGCTGGTACCTTCCTTAGGAGTGGGAGGACCTGGCTGGAGCCAAGGAGGACAGGAAAGGAGAGGCTTCTCTGGGGTTGGGAAAGGCTCACAGAGATGGGTTATGAGCAGGGCTGTGAATTCCTGTCATGGGTGTGGGGTGAGCATGAGAGACTGAAAACTCCATTCAGCTACTCATCAGGAATCTCATCAAACAGCTGAGTTTAGGTTTGTGAGACTGAAACCTATCACCACAAACCATGAAAGACTTACTAGATACTGTGACCAGTGGGAATATTCGAGAGTATAAGTACCAGCAACTTTTTTGGAATCATGTAGACACACAGGACATTAGCTAGTTATTCCCAGGTCCTTAGCTTTTCCTTTGTATGTGGTGTACTTGCACTTAATCTATGGAAGATTTATGCGTTCATTAGAAAACGTAAATTTTTCCTTATAATAAAAACCAGACAGCTTCTTTTTTAGGTGAAAAACAGTGGGGAGCAAAGATATCCTGACACAGATTAGGTATTCTCACTTATCAATTGTAGAGAAAACTGCCTACAACAACAGTGCAGGACTTTGGATCAGTTAAAATAATGACTAGAATCGCCTGACATTTGAACCAGAAAATCCAAGGACATTGCCATAGTTCTAATCGACTTTGTCTAAAACCAAAACTTTTATATATACACACACACAGAGACATGAAGTTACCACCATGAAGTGGCAAATGGCTGAATTTCTAGTGACAATAAACTTGTAAACTTTGTGGATGAAAAAGGTACTTTCTATTTAAAATAGGTTTCTGAAGCTTCGTAGTACCCACATTAAGTTAGATTGTTCCAGGATATTCCTGTGGGCATATTAGGAACTGGACATGATTCAGTTAACTAGCACTGCTAATAAATTGTCCAAAATCTAGTAACCCTATAGCAAATATTCAGAGGAAAGGCCCCATACAGTTGCTAAAATTTCTAAAATTTGTGTTTTATAGGGAATATATAAAACCCTATTCCCCCAACTAATACCAAGAGGGGGAAAAATTCCCTAAATAACTAAAGAGTTTATGTATTAGTTATTAGTCATTTATTTCAGCCAGTACTAAATACAAGCACATTCTACTACATGAGATTTTGAATTGTCCGTCATTCTTTGGAATAGAATTTAGATAAGTATGGAGACTTATTGTGAGAATCATTCAAGAATCTGAATTTTAGGAACTCAAGAAGCAGTATTCTACCTACAGGTTTTTAAGAACACTTAGTCCCCAGGTGAATGGGCACAGACGCATTCGGGGGGGAGTGTGCAGGTCTCCAAGTGGACACTGCACTGTCACCGTCTGGTCAGAGAGTGAGCCAAGAGATGGGGTGGGAGTCTCTAGCAGTCAGCCGTCAGGCTTAATATCGCAGTGCAGTCCAGAGGTGACTTTGTGGTTCTGGAAATAGGATTTGCCTGTAAGTGCTGCCCACATGCAAAGCAAATGAGCTCAGCTTTGCTCCAGCTGAGTCACCTCAGAGGTCAGTGTTCACTTCTTAGTACAGATGAACCACTGCCATTAGCTCCTGTCCTAAAAATGAGGTCTGTTTGGCTCTACAGCTGCCTTCCAGCAGGTTCCAGTGTGGTAGGTACAATGGGCACAATGTGTCTTGTCAGTACCTTAGTTTTCAAAACCAGCATAAACCTCTAGAAATGTTACCTTGGGCTGTGTATTCTCGGTGAAAACTGCCCCTTTGTGCAAATCCCATAACAACAACACCCCCCTACCACACACCCCCGTCCTGAGAGGTTCTGCTCTTGTTCTGTCTTGTCTTGGAGGAAGGGGAACAGTGAACGGGGCACGGGGCCTTGGTAGCCTTTTTATATTCTGCTGCAGATGAAGTACAGGAAGTGATACAATGAGTTTTGTTTGAAAAAAGTCTAAAAATCGAAAGGATCATTCCTTTTAAGAGTTAGTAATTACACACATTCCATTCCTGAACATAGAAATTCCAGATACTGGTTCTCACCAGGAATGGTGACTGTACCCAAGGGGTTCTTCAGTTGCTTCATTTGCTTGTAAAGCTCATAGTCCTGGAGTTGTTTTTGTTTCTTGTCTATGAATCGTGTGCATGTCACATTAACGGCTGGTCTAGGCTTCTCATTCCTGAAAAACACTTTGGCCGAGCACTTCCCCACACGTTCCTCACCATCCTGGAATAAAGAGTTAGAATTAAACAAAATGGTTCCTTGTCTCCCCTCCGCCCCAGAACACACAGACATGTGACTGGGGGCGAGCCTTGTCCAGGCAGGTGCACTGGCACCAGATGCAGTGTCTTGGTAGAAAGTGGTTCATGCTCCCAGCTGAACCCGCAGTCTCACTGAGTCATTTAAACTGACTTCTGATAGCGGCTTATAGAATAAACCTGGGCCTTTCCAGAGGCCATTGCTGTCTGTTGAGCTTGCCAGCTTAGAACTCTAGGACACTGGGTACTCAGTCTCCCCCATGGACCTCCTCGTGCTTGTTGGACCTCCAGCTCGCCGACTTGAACCCAAGGATGAAGCAGGTTCCTGTGAACAACAATGACGGCATCTTCCCTACACCTGAGTGGTTGCTCTTTGTCCAGTTTGTGGGGGAAAATCAGAGGCTTACGGAGGAAACTGCTCCATGTCCCCCAGTCAGTGGGTGGTTAAGCAGGACTGGCGCTCATGGCAGATGGAGGCACAGTCACCCCTGGGGGTCCTCCAACCCCTCCGTGCCCGGCTCATGATTTTCATGCGCTCGTGTATGTAGTGGTCTGGGTATCGGGGCCACCCTCACGCATTCTCACCCAGAGCACCTGCATCTGGAGGACTGCCTGCTCCCTGGAGACTCATCTTAGGTCAGTGCTCCACCATTTCAGCTCAGATCCCATAACTTGCCAGAGCCAGGGAGCCAATTCCAGGAAAGTGCCCAGAGGCGCACACCTTCAACAAGGTTAGAATTTAAGGACTTTCCTGGGTTGCCATCAGGCCCCCTTACATCATCCCTGCCGCTCAAGAACTCCCATCACAAAGGAGGTGGGGAGAACAGCTGAGGCAACAATCTTCACATTTGCAGTTGTTTAAATTGGGTGGGGTTCCAGTTAAAACAATCAAAAAACAAAAAGGCCACAAGAAAACATTGTAATCAAAATTGGATGTTAAATAAACCTATTAAAAATGTTTGGTTCTGTTAGCCTGTTAGTTCATAACTAACTTAAAACACCAAAATAGACTGTCCAGACCCCACCTCCCAGAGTGCTGGTTTTGAAGGAGAGGACATGTGAGTGGTGTGTGAAAATCCTAATTACGGCCGCAAGGTAGGGAAGCTGTGAAGGAAGCACTGGGAAGAGACAGAAGACAAAGGCAGAAGACAAATCATGGCCCTTGGTCTCTAGTGTCAGAGCTGTTTCTAAGGAAGGAAAAGGGAACCAGGGTTTTCCTTTCCTTTCCTAGGCCCCCAACACTCCACAGACTCAGAGCAGCCGTCTGGAGAGGAAGAATACAGCTTCGCTTCCCGAGATGGAACCCCCAATGAGCTGGCTGTGTTCTGAGAAACAGTGAGCTCCCTTGACTTGAATCTCACACATCAATTTGAAGGATTAGAAATCAAAAGTGGTTTCCTTAGCTGCAAGAAAATGCCTAATTTTTAGGTTTATTAGCAAAGTTACATACTGTCTGCAAGATTTGTTTCCGAACACTGGGAAACCTTCCAGAAGCTTCGGGCTGGGGAAGGGGTCATGTAGTCCTGCCTTCATCACAGTGCTGTCACCTGAGGCCAAGGCCACCACTGCCACCTAACATGCAAATGCCACCACCACCTGCTGGTCCGGCTGCTCTAACTCAGCCTCACACGAGAAGAATTGCCCAGGTCTTTGTTCCACCCAAGTTCTGGTTGCCTCCCTGCCTGGCCCAGCACATGGAAGTTCATCTGGCTCTAATGTCTACAGAAGTTTTTCATTTATCCTCTTGTTGAGAACTGAACGGTGAGGTGAACACCGCCCAGGGCGTGCGCTGCTATGGCCTCTCTCACAGAATCTCTCACTGTGCCAGCTCTGGAGCTGGTCTCATGCTAGGCCAGCCTGCTAGCGGGAAATGTCATCAGCTGGCAGGAGAGCCGAGGTTGGCATTTGAGTGAGTCATTTAAGGATTCTGATGTCTGGAAGCTGTGAAACTCCTTCCCAGGGGCACAGGGTGGGGGAGGGGGTTGTGTGGAAAGTTTTAAGTGCAGCCCTGCTTAAGGCATGAAGTTGAAGCAGTTAAATCTTGAGTTCCTGTATAGTTAGTTCTGCTCTTCAATTCTTGAGAACAGGAAACAAAGGAAAAACAAAACCTCTAGGTCAATATATATTAATATTCCTTTGTAAAGAAAATCATGAGTTGCTAACAGGACACCCCTGATCCTGGCAGCTTACCTCTAGGTTGTAGCGTTCTGTGGTAAATACCAGGTCCACTTTACAGTCATTTTTGGGATTCACCTGAAATACAGAAACTGTATCTTAGCATCATGGCAACTCCATTAACATCTTCACGTCAAAGCATGCAAATGGTAGCTCTAACATTTATGCTCAAATTGGTGATTATTTTCAGGAGAAGATTTCAGATTTCGGTCAGATCATGACACTGCTTATTAACTTGACACCTCGCAAAAAGGGAGGCAGAGAAAGGAAAAGGATGTTGAGGCTGGAAGTTAATTGAGAGCAGTTAGAGGAGAGTGAGGCCCTCATCCCACCCCCAGCTCCTAGGGCCTCTCTGCTGTCATGCCGGGCCACATCCATGAGCACAGACTCCCCTGTGCCGCTCACCAGTTATCACTGCGCCCAGTGATAAATAATGGGTTTTCAGGTGGGGATGTGGGCAGGTGGAGTAGACGTGGCTGCTTTTCCTAAGGTGTCAAGAAGGTGCGCAGGAGGAGCTCTGGCTGAGATTACAGGACAGCAGGGGAGCAGCCACGGCCAGACCTGGCAGGCAGGGACCTGCAAGTGAGGCCTGAGGTGGCATTTGCAGAGGGTGTGTGGTCTGGGTAGGATGAGTAACCAACACTGAGTATATCCTGGGTGTTGCCTGCCCTTCCTCAGCTTTCATAAGCAGGCCTACTTTTAGGTATTAGAAATGCATGTTTAGCCTTTTTAAACCTCTTAATTGACTCCAATGCATATTTTTAGTGTATGCATACCCATGTCGTGGAAGCAATTTAAGCTGCATTAGAAGAACTTCGTTATTTGCCATTAGCTTTTTAAAAGAGCAAACTGATCAATATAAGTATTTTCTAAAGGGAGTTTTCTGCCTCCTGCTGAAATTATTTCACATAGTCGTGATTGAGTTAGATTCGGGAATATCAATTCCCTTTGACTCTTAGCCCAGCAACACAACAACTAAACAGGATTTTCTCTTTTTAAATAGCCTCCTATTTTAATGAGGCCTTGGAACTTGATGCCAAAGACCATGGGGAGCCCCACATAGTAAACATAACTATACTGAGGGTGCTGGGAGGAGTAAGATTTGGCACTGAAAGGGCTCGCAATAGTGGTCAGTATGTGTTTACTCTTGGTATCATGTTAAGATCTACAGTCATGAGGGAGGGAAAGCTGTGCTAGAAATGGATCTGGCCTCTGTTCATAGCCAGGGGAACCTGACAGGATGGACCCCCCCAGCTTCCCTTCGGTTATCCCTGAAGTCCCCATGAACTGTATTCGAGGGTACAGTGGAACCTGCATGGAAGTGGCAAGATAAGATGTCTGAAGCCGTTATCCTCACTGCCCTGTCCATCACAGGAACACACAACTGTGCACTTGCTGGCTCTGACACCCCCAGCCACACTGCTGGCATTCCCAAACAACTAATTCAGAAGCTGCACTCCCACAGCCAAGAGGGCTAAGCCTTGAAGTGTCTGCTCTCCCCTGTTCCATGCACGACCTTGACTCTGCCCTCCATGGCCACTCAGGGCCTGAGCGAGGGCTCCTGAACAAGAGCTCCTGAACAAGAGCTTGCCAGTGGGGGTTGGAGATGGGGAGGTAGGAGGAGGAAGCTAGGTAGGAGTGAGGGTATAATCCTTGGTGCTCAGGGACCTGGCGATGAACCAGAACCAGCTGACAGTGAAGTGAATTCAGTAGAGGTAGCGGTAGTTGAAGCCGTGGCATTGAATGCAGTCCCCCAGGGAAGACTCTCCGTGGGAAGACTCTGAGTACCAAGAACAGTGATTAAAGGATGACATTGCCATGTGCCTGGTTGCTACACACAAGTATTCACAAAAGTCTTCCTCTTTGACATCATTGTGTATATTTTTTTTAAGATTTATTTATGCATACAAGAACTGGGGTGTAAGCCAGAGGTGTGGGGGGCAAGAGCAGGGGGGAGTAAGGGATTCGCCAGAGAGAGTAGGGACAAGAACAGGCAGATCTACTGAAATACACTGCTGAGGGGAGCAGCAGGTGAGGCAGGAGAGGTCTGCTGTGCCAAGTGGGTCAGCTCCCTGGCCTGCTGGGGATCGAAATTGTGTTGCAGTGGCTGGCGATGGCTTGATAGTGCTGTCTTTAATCCCTGCGCCACCAGGGAGGCCCATGTACATATTTTTTTAAGATTTATTTATTTATGCATACAAGAACAGGGTTACAGGCCAGAGGTGAGGGGGTGAGAGGATTCACCAGAGACAGAGTGGGGAACAGAACAGGCAGATAGACTGAAATACACTGCTGAGGGGAGCAGCAGGCAAGACAGGAGAGGTCTGCTGCGCCAAGTGGATTGAACTGGCCGGGGATTGAACTCGTGCTTCAGTGGCTGCGGATAGCTTCACAGGCTGCGTCTTAACCCCTTGTGCCACCAGGGAGGCCCCCATGTACATATTTTAAATGGAAAACTTAGGATAACTATTTGACTCCACAGCTTCTTGAAGACACACGGAGGCAGTGAGGTGCCTCTATATTCCTTGTAGAAAAAGAAACAACTCCGTTCAAAGATTGGAAGCCGAGTAGACGGATCGTATCCTTCTGAAGAGCTATTTGCTTTGCTGATTTGATTTTCTTATTTTGTTTTAATTAACCACTCTTACAAATGTCTACATTTTGTCCACAATAAGATTTTTATGTTTTTGGTTGTGCATATCATTTATTAAGATTCAGCCCCTTTATCTGCCTCAGAGGCCTCTTGCTTCTCCCTTTCTGTGAGTCACATGTCTGCCTTGGGCTCTGCTCATTCTGTGAGATAGGGCAGGGCCTGTAGGCAGAGCCTCGCCAGCAGGGCCTCTGTCTGGGACAGAGTGTCTCCTGTCCGGTCTCTCAGGACTGTGCTTTGCTTTCGCTGTCTCTGATTAAATCAATCTGTGATAAGAGGCCTTTGCTGGCCAACGTCCACTCCAGGATTTGTTGTGCGCTGTGCTGGGTGTCAGAAGCAGGAATACAGGGGACAAAACAGCCTCTTCACCCCCGCCTCAGGGCATCAGCTGGGCAGAAAGCCTTTAAGTAGGTCATTGGCAAATTGATTATTTGATTCTGACTGACTTAAGAGCTATGAAATGATAACTGGAGAACTGATTCAGTCTCAGGGCCAGGGAGCTGCCACTTGAGCTGGACTCTAAGGTAGGGATTCTTTTTTTTTTTTTTTTAAGGTTTATTTATTTATGCATACAAGAAGGAGCTGACTTGGGGTAAGGACAAACCATTCTAAGAGTAAACAGTGGAGCTGAAGACCCCAAGGGCAGCCAGTGGGCCAGAGGCAGAAAGACAGGTACAAGGTTCAGCAAGAGCCAGCTGGGTAGGCAGGGGTCACCTCTGCAGGCGAAGGTGAGAAAAATGGAAGCTTCAGGCAGGAAGGAGGGATTTTGAATAGATCCCTCCAGAGTGGAGGGGTGTGTGTGTGTTTGAGGGATGTTGCCCAGAGTGAGTGGAATGATGAAGGGGATAGTTGAGGAGTAGATGGAGGGGGGCAGGGTGTCAAACCAAGGTGGGGGCCACAGAATGGAGAGAAGTATTTGGTGGGCAAATGGAGCGCTAGCAGAAGGTAAAGAATGGACCATTGTTAATTCAAGGTCAGAGATGGTCCCTAGAATATGAGTTCATTGTGAAGACATTAAACCAGTGTTGCATCGTGCACATGATGCTTGTATTTAGAATCCTAGCCATGGGGCCTGGGCCAGGGACTGTGCTAAGTACTTTTGAGGAGTGTGGGAAAACTGCCCCTTGCATGTGGCCTGCTGCCACCACATGGTACATAGCTAGTCCATTCATTCAAAGCCATTAAAAAAAAGACATTTTTGAAATAGCTGAAGCTGACACTAGGGAGAGGTGGCACAGTCTGGCTCCCTGAGGTGGCACGTGTTCCCTCACAATAGACACTGCTCCCCACACTGCTGAAACTGCCAGCTGCAAAACAGGTTAGGAATTTTACATCCCTGTCATGCAGCCAGAGGCATGGCATATTGTTCTAATATTTTCCAGAATAAACTCTTTATATAAAAGAAAAAGTCAGCAACAAAGCTATTGACCATGTGACCACAGAATCTGAAGGAATGAATTAGGAGCGCTTCACTCCAGATTTCTTTTTAATTATGTATAAGGAAGACTTCTGTGCTGTAGCATAGAACTAAAGGCTTTACAAACGTGAACCACTAATGGCAAACTTCGGTTCTAATGGTCTTATGTCTTGTTTTCTAGGTTTCTTGATCTTTGCACCCAGCCTTCTGCCTTCCCCTGCACCCCATCCCCAGGAACTTCCTTAAGGCTCTTCTGGGGAATGAGCAGCACTTTGATCCAGGCAGACGGCCTGAGAATGTAGGCAGGCAAGTCTGCAAGGAATGGGGCTTCTCACACTTGGGTGGGTTTTTTGTTTGGTTTGGTTTAAAGTGCCCCTCAAATCGTTGTCAATTCCATAGGAAGCATGCTCTCAGTACTGGAAGAAAGCCTCCTGCTGAGCCTAGGAGGGACTTGTGATGAAAGTGTCAATAAACTGAGCTCCTGCTTTGTTCTTCAGGTGCCAAGTATGGCTGATCACGTGGCAGGAGCCCTTTGAGGAAGATGCTATTCCCATTTTAGGGATGAAGAAATGGAGGCACTTGTCCAAAGTGAAGGAATTTCCCAAAGTCACAGGGTTAGCAAGGAAGGAAGCCTGGTCCAGGAGCACCCCCCTCTGCCCTTATACCAGGGCCACATACCCTAACAGTCTCATCTAACAGGGAGCGGGGGAGGGTATGTAGGAGAGGGAATAAGAGTTAGAGTTGGAGTGCTTATCGTGGTGGTCTGGCTCCTGTAGACAAGACCACCCAAACCTTCTGGAAGGGAGACAGCCAACAGCACATGGACATTCCCTCTGGCTGCTGTAACACATGGTGACCTAGGTACCCTAGTCCTGCAGAAATGGAGTCTCTCGTTGTTCTGGAGGCTACAGGTCCAAATCCCGGTGTCAGCTGGGCTGCTGTCCCTCAGACTCTGGGTAGATTCCTTCCTGCCTCTTTTAGCTTCCCATGGTGGTGGCAGCCCCTGGTGTC